TGCTAATCTAATCCCTGTCACCTGAGTGCCGGAGACCTAGCATCTGTATGTGTTAACTCTATGACACTTGACAGAGCATCTAACAAACACAGAAGGATCTAGTTGCTTAGAAGGGATGGGGGTTTCAGAGTTAAGTCCAAAATATCAGAAAGAAAAACATGTTACAAGATTTTCTTGTGTATTATAAGCATATCTGAGGAAAAAATGTAAGGTTTTTCTAACCATTGCCACCCTACCCCTGCCAATTGCCCATAGCTGAACCATGTGCTTCTCTGCTCTCCCACGAACATAATGTGAGAAAGCATAATTGGGCAGCTAGCAGACCAGGTCAGGGGCTTAGGTGTCTCTTAAAACTCATTAAGGAACAGACTGGGAGGAAATGCATATTACGTACTGGCAAATACTATAGTTTCTAAGTAGATAAGAGGCTGCCACTTTTTTGGTGAATTTATTTTTAAGCAGTGGATAGTATTTTAGCACAGGCCCCTCTTAGGCATGAGTGTAAAAAGTCTAGACAGGGCCATCCTGGAGATGTTTGGTGGTGTTACACAGCAAGTATTCCAGCACAGCAATGTGGTGTGTGTTTTCAGCACAACTACACTCCGGAATGGACTCTAGTTTAGCCAGCGTGCTGGCTGGTCTATAGGGAAGAGAGATGCAAAGATATTCAATAGGATAGCTTCACAACTGTATTTATTTCTGAGAAATTCTGAACATGACCTTTTAAATATTGTAGAATTTCTTTCCAAGGTAAAGGGATGCAAGAAATTTTTTATTTCAATGAAAGAAGCCAGACACACAAGCATATATATTGTGTGATTTCATTTACATGAAGTGTCCAGAATAGGCAAATCCATAGAGACAGAAAATAGACTAGAGGTTGCCAGGAGCTGAGGGAACGGGGACATGCAGAGTGACTGCTTACAAGGTTCCTTTCTGAGATGACAATGTTCTGGAACTAGATAGTGGTGGCAGTTGCACAACATTCTGAATGTACTGATAACTCTTAATTGTACACTTTAAAATGATTAAAATAAAGTGAATTCTGAGTTATGTGAATTTTTTTAAAATTAAGTAAATGAAAAATGAAAGATATGAGGCTCAGGCCAATGGAATCAAAATAAACTGCCAGGACAGCGTGACCTGCAAACATATCTGCAAATCTGCACCTTAGATTTTTAAGTCACAGCCACCTTAGGTTTTCCGTCCATGCAGTCAACCTGACGTTTAACTAAAACAAGTCGTAAAGAAGCTGTCTAGGGCTCAGATTAATCCTTAAAAATTTAAATGTTGGCAATGTTCATTGTGGAAAAGGAACACAAAATATAAATCAACTGTAATTCCATTGTCTGGAAATAATCTATTCAGGTCTTTTGTTTCCTATAGAAGCATAAACTTTTTCCTGAAATGAGATTAGATATTGTTTTGTAGTATATTCACCTACATAATTTTACTGCCTGTATACCTACAACTTCTAAATCTTTTACTACATACAGGAAATAATCTACATGCTTTAAATTATGTTAACTTCCTGAGGTCAATATTGCTGTTTTGATTTTAAAGATGAGAAAAGTAAAAAACAGAGTAAGTAGCTTTTCTAAAGTCCACACAGAGAGTAAATGGGAGAGCCAGGGGGCAAATTCAAACAATCTGACTCTGGAGTCCATGCTGTTCAACCACTATGACCTAGTATTTAACCAAATCAATTCTGATGGACACTTGAAATTTATCCAGTTTTGTTATTACAAAAAAAAAAAAAAAATCAACAAACATTCTTGAAACCAAAATAATGATCACAATAAAAGTTCTGAAATTGAAGCTATGGCTCAAATTATATTAGCATTTGAAGCTATTGATACAACCCATGAATTCTTGAAATGGTCAGCCTTACATTTGTCAGGAAGCGCACGCGTGCGCACATCTGGGTAAAAGATTCACTGTGAGGTGCACAGCACCGTAATTCAGTAGTAATTAAAGCTTGGGAGTTACGTATCCTGCAGATTGCAGAGCCAAGGTTGGAATATCTCTTGCTTTTTTCTTTCTTTCTTTTTTTTTTTTTTTTTACCTCCTAGTGTTTCCCCTCAACTACACTGTTCCTCCAAGGAAGAATCCGGCATCAGCGTTTTATTTCTGGTGCACTCTGAAATTACAACCACTTTCTAATCCTTCTTTACTCAAACAAAATCAAATGATATATAGATAGATAGATTAGGTAGATAAGCATTCTCCCCAAATAGCAATCTCCTCCCAAATAGTACAATATACATTAATAATGTTAACAATTTGAAAATTACCCATTCTCTAAGATATTCTCCAGTGATACAATAAAGGCATTACTAAGAACCACTATTTCCATGCCAGTCTTAAGCACAATTTTGTAACATACCTACCATGGAAAAAGTTAGTTTCTGAAAACAACAAAGACAGGAATCAAATTAACATTGTTTTATTACATCTGTAAATATTACTTTACAAGCCCAAGTTTTGCTTTTAACTTGCCTTGTTTCTTTAAGAGTAAGTTTTTAATAGCAAAATTAAAGCTCTGTTAAAAATGTTTCAAAACAGACGTCACTGCACTTCATACAGTTAACTGCTTCTTTATAAACATGAGAAAAAACAAGCTGTACATTACATTAAAAATTCAAGAACTGGGAAAATGAAAGCTTTAAAAACATATATTCTTTCATACTAAAATAGCATAATTTTCACCTTACACATATAAGGAAAGAAGAATACTACAGGTTAAAGATGTTTACATTAAAAATAAGAAAAACTTAAAAGGAAAGTACCCTTTCAAAAGTCTAAAAATCTAGATTTCAGGAGCAAATAAGAAGACCAAAAATGTAGCATCAAATAAAAATTTTAGAGCACATTTAATTAAAGGCCTTCTTCTCTCTTAGGGCCAGGAAGGCTACATAGGAATAAGCACTTCCCATGGATGCCTTGTTTGATCTACACAGGCAGTTCGGGCCCACCCTCTAACCGCCTTCAGACTCATCCTGCAGTCAGCTCTCTTCTCCCACACTCCACAGTCCTAATAAGGTGAGGCCCCGACAAGGGGTTAGTGATCCACCAAAACCAAATGGCAGCTGCCATTAGCCTGAGTAAAGAAGGAAAAGGAAGGGCTGGGCCTAGCAAAAACTATGAAGCAAACAATGTTGTCTTTTTTGGCCTCTCTTCTTGCCTTTGAAGGCCGGAGTTTTCATGATGATCTCTGACTTGTCCAAACCCTCCTTGGGCGTGTCCTCTCCCAAAGCTCCCTGTGCCCCCATATATATACACGTGAACATATATAATCAGTTCAAACTATAGCCTGTAGAACACTGCCACTTCATGGGCTAGCCCAACAAATTCTGTTCCCAAAGACAAATAAAGAATGTGGGGGGTGAGGGAGGTACAGGTCCCAATTCATAGCTGTAAAATTTTAAAAACAATTTTAATTATTTTTCTTCCAAAATTTTCTTCAGTTAGTGATACCTAATAGAGGCGTGGGCAAAAGTAGGTTTACAGTTGTGAGTACACAGTTTACTCTTGTATTGTTATTTATTAATTATTATATTATTTATTTGCTTTATAACAGAAAACCTACTTTTGCCCCTCTTTTTCTAGTCCAATTTTTAAACTATCACTTGAAGTAAGTATACGACAATGTGATTAGATTTATCATAAATTTAGGTATTCATTATTTTAAGTTTATAACACTGCCTTGAAGTATTCTGCTGGCCTTCCAGAGGCTCTATAACATAAACAAATTTGGAAAGAACTAAATTGAAGCAACATCTTGAAAGGTATTGAATTCCACCTAGGGGTTAAGTTTCCCTATATTCATTTTATTCTTTACAACATTTTGTAATATCTACCTGCCTAAATATGAAGTAATATATTTTATTTGAAAATGGCAGTGAACAAAAATGCGTTCTTACCCCTCATTGTTACTTATAATTAGGATAGGAGTCTTTTTTCAGACTATAAGGCTATAATTCATCTAAGGAAAACATATTCTAATTTCATATGACTACTATAGAGGAAGTAAGAGCCACATGTACTGAAATTGCAAATAAAAATATAAAAGTACAATACTGAAGAGAAGAAAAGCATTTTTTTTTCTGCATAATTTTCATTCCTGGCAAGTTTTTTACAGTAGTCCTGAATCTCAGGGGGAAAAATGTGAAGATTAGGGATTATGATCTCAATAAAAGATGTTTAGTATTTTTCATTAAAATACTGGCAATAACTCTCTGTATGGTGGATATAGTTTTGTTCTTTAAGAATAAGGGAAGTTATATTCCTCATAATAATCCTTTATAAACCAGAAAACACTTTCAAAAGCATAAAAATAACAATTTCTTGGTTTACAGTTTCCTAGGGTAATTTAAAGTTATGTCTATGTATTTTTGAGATCTTTATTAGGGCTATCAGGCAGATAAGGCTGCTCTTCATTATCTTGTTGCTAACCAGAAAGAAAACAAAATTCTAGAAATCATAGGAGCTACTAACTAGGTACTATTAATATTTTAGAGCTAAATAAATCCAACAAAATTTTCCATAGTATCTGAAGTAATTCTATTCCACTTAAATCTAAACCTGGAACAAGAACAGAATGTCAGCCCAGAGAGCTGTTTTACTATATTCAATCAAATACAGCTTAGCTATTTTTGGACTAATATTTACCCAATATATTTATTTGGAAAATATCTGTAAAGGAGAACAGATCCCTGATAGACCTTAATTCCAATGCTATATAGCATGAGGTTTGCTAGTTGTTTATTTACTCAGCTTTAAAGAAGGCAAAAATTGGTTTTAACATTTAAACTCCATGAAAAAGATAAGCAATAAATTGCTTGAAAAATATGGTGCAAATTGGTAATTAACATAATTGAAAATTTAGAAAAAATTTATAGTCATATTCATATCTATATGTATTTAGAAATTCAAATTGGATTTTACAATATCCCTTTGGGAAACATCCAGAATGTCTGACAAAATCATGTCTAATTGTAGCATTGTAATGTTTATCTCTTTGTGCATGTTTCTGCTAATGCAGTAAATTTAGGTTCCAAATTATTTAAAAAGTCAAGACCCTCTTCCTCCTGTTTTTCACTGCAGCAACCTACAGAACCACCTGGAGATCCTCTTCCTTCATAGTTGTACGTGAGGACGTAATCTTGCGATGAGAGGTGGTCTTCATTCTTATTATATTGGTGCAATTTCTGTAAAATAAAAAAAAAGATTGCATTATTGTTTTAAACACACAAACATATAAACATAAAATTTATTTTTTATTTACCTGTTATGTTTAATTTTTAACCAGTGTGTCCTCTAATGGAGTCCTACATACAAAAAATGCACATGATTGGTCTATATCACAACCATACCATAAAGTCAGTATATTTTACATTTCTAGTAATCCATACAAATAAAAAAAGATGTAGACAAATGTTATATTTAAGTACACTTAAATTATCAATAAATGCCTATATCTACATTTTATTTCTAGAGGTCAGGTTAGTCCACAGAATGATGACAGTATGCACGGTAGTTAGGAATGTGAGTCTGAATGGCTGAACAGTCCTGATTTTGAGTCATAGCTCTGGTTTTAACCAACTAACCATCTGACTGGGAGCAAGCTAGTAAATATTTTTGTCTCCCTTTTCTCAAGTCTAAAATGGGAATATAGACAGTGACTACCTCCCAAGGTCATTTTTAAATTATGAAATAGTAGCGCATGAAAAATATTCTTACTATTCCCAGCACATAGTAAACAGACAATAGAAGTTAACTAAAATTGCTACATATTATGTGCAGTTAGAAAGGAGATAAGAACTACCTCACTGGCTTCAGAATCAAGTTTACAAAGCAGCCAAAACATGACAAAATAGAGATGCACAAAAAATTTCAGTGAAATTCAAAATAACCTAACCCACATAGCAAAAATCTGGCCTTTATAGAATGGAGAGGCCAAGCATTCAGCCACCCCTCCCTTGATATCTGTCACTGGTCAGTTTTCTGACGTGTCAAACTCTTCTGCCTCCTCCCTTCCTCAACTGTGTGCATTCCCTCTGTAACCTGAGCTTATTTTCTTGCTTTGAGTTAGCAAGTGTCTTCCTTCATAACCATTTTAGCCTCACATCTTGTTATCTGATGTGCACACTGAAGAGCAACTTTCATAAGCTTTGCTCCTTCCCAACCTTATATTCCATGAAACTGACTGTCTAGAAACAGAAAACTGAATTTCATGAAAAAAATATGCTACGGACATATGATAAGCTACAGCCATGTCACAGAACGCTGTCCATTTGCAGTCCATGAGGGCGTCTGGTCCAGTGTCTGTGTTCCAAAGGCACTGGCACCCTCAGGTCAAAAAAGTGAAAATTTAGTGCCAGAAAGAAATTTAATCCAGTGATTCTCTGCTGGGACTGCACCCTGCACAACTTTAGGGGTGGGAAAAAGCCAAAACAATTAAATTGGAATCCTTCAAGGGGGAGAACAGGCATTAGTGTTTTTTTAAAAGCTCCCCAGGGGATTTTGATGTGCTATCAGGATTGAAAATCCCTTATTTAGCCTCTCCTTTCTTTCACATCTTTGCTTTCCTCTGAACAAAACATGCTATATCTGCACCATGTTTTTACATTAAAAACAATTCAGCCAGGTCATATTATTTAACATTAATACTAGAATTGTGTATAGATGCTTTGTTTTCACAGAAAATGGATATTTGATTTGGGCAGTTTTGTGATTGTGATGAATTAGATTCTTTTTCATATTCCATATTGAAAAAGCCCATGAGGTAAACACACACCTAAAACTAATGTAACTTAAGTCAGGGATATTAAAAACCTGCAGTTTTCATGACATTTTAGAAATTAAGAGACTGTAACAGGTGAAATAAAATCTCTTTTATATTAAATAATGTAACAAAATGAAAGAGCAGGGGAAAAAAATAACCAGAGAGAGAGAAAGAAGAGACTGTAAAGAATATAAAGAAGCAACTTCTTAAAATATATATGTTGATACCCATTTCCTATTGCTCTCCACTTGGATATTTAAATAGTGGAGTGAAATCACTTAAGGAAACTCACTTCATGAAGATGAGGCTGAGTGAAATTATGCCACTCTGAGTAAGTGTGTCTGGAGTTTTCCATATCCATGTGTCCTCCCCTGCAGGAATCCAGGGTGTGGTGATGACTCCGGTTCGATTCCAAGGTCTGGTGACCTCCTTTCACCATTTCAATGGTTTCCAGCCCTCCATTTTTGACTCCTGATCCCATGGTGCCACAAAAGCCTTGACTAGAGTTGTTGACTGTCTGGGTCACAAACCCATTGGCAGAACACTGAAATAATAAAATAAAATAAAATAAAATAAAATAAAATAAGCCATTCCTGTTGGGAGAAATGGATTGCAAGACAAGTCACAAGAAGACAAGGGGAAAAGAACATTTATTCCACCTTCTTTTCATTCATTCAACAAACATTTATCGCTTTCCAGTTCTGTGCTCTGTCTAGGAATGAAAAGATTGATATGGTCATTCAGTGGCTCCAAGAAGCTCTTATTCCAATGAGGCAGAAAATAGATAATTACTGTAAGAATGCAATTATTCTGATAAATAGGTGAACACAGAGTGCTACAAGAGCACAGAAAAAGAACATCAAAATTTGAATTCAGAGATGTTAACTGTAGTAGATTTGAAAAACTGAGCTGAAGGACTCCTAAGTGAAATGGGAGGAAGCATGCACTCCCTGGGTCTGGAGGCAAAGGATGCTTTAGGGATCCTCAACTTCATCCTGCCACATACCATTCAGAATGGCTGCCACACACAATTGAGGGAGAGAGAGAAAACTGGAAAGGTTATGAAAGGCTAAAGGATATAAAGACCTACATGTCATGCTAAAATAAGGCAGACTATCCTGAGATTATGAGGACTCAAAGAAGAGTTTTCATAACAGGGGAGGAACATGTTTTTCAAATCATTCTAGGCAGTAATGTGACAGGTGAATAAGGGATGAGTTTAGTGTTGGGAAACGCCCTGCCTGGTTTCAGGAACTGTTACCCTGCCGAGGCTGGAAATAATAGGAGGCCTTGGAGAAACAGGCTCCTGAGAAGACATGGCTTGTCCTCCCCTGGCAGGGGCGTAGCTACTGCTTCTCTTGCTTTGCCTTGTGATGGTCCTTGTCAATGACAGGTAAACCCCTCAGGGGATAGGCAACCTAAGCTAGGCATTGACCGATTATAGGCAGCAGACAAGAAGTTGGGGGACACAGAGAAGGGGCAAAGAGGCCCCTGCACCTCTCAGCTTGGCTTGGACAGGGCCGGAGTCCTCATTATAGCTGAGAAGCAGTCTCCTTATCCCTTGGTGGTTCTCTCCCCCGCTTGGCTCAGGCTTGAAACAGTGCAGGAGTCAGCTCTAAATCAGATCTGGCCAGTCTGGGGAAATCAGGCCTAAAAGTAAATTCTTTAGAGTGTGTTTTGTTCTTCCCTCAGATCTCTGGCCAGCTCATGCTGCAAAGGACATTTACATTATTTACATCCCTTACCCTATATCTTTAAGGCGCCTTTACGTCTACTTTCCCCTTATCTATAAGTCTCTATTGTTGATACTAGTTTCCTCTCGGCCCCAAGTAAATCAGTGTATTCTTGTCACTTGTTTTCTTAAAGGCATCATATATTCTCTGTGAAACTTAACATTCTAATGTAATGAAATTACGAATACATTCCTGTTATCTAGCCCCACTGATAAGATTTTCAATAAAAGCCTTACATCAAAGGGTGATGGGGCCTTCTCCAGTAAGAGGGAAGTGCCCCGTCTGCTCTCCCGGCAGAGAAGTGTTTGCGACGATTTGTGTTTATTCCCCCATCCGTGACAACCGCGGGACAGGCTCTGTGGGATGCAGAGCCCTACTCCCATCTCAGCTGACCCCAGACGGTGTCCCTCAGGTTCAGGGAGCGCCGCGCTCCTTCCTGCGCGCCCCAGGGCTTGGCATTTGCTGCCCAGGCAGGGGCGAGCTGCAACCCCAGCGGTGCTCTCCCCGAGGCGATGTGCCCCTTCTTGCCGCTGCGCAGTGCGACAGTTTAGTGTCATGGAAATCAGAGGGGTCACTAAATTATTCTCGGTGACAAGTGGAAAGGACCTAAGCCAAAGTAGAAACCGTGATGATTAAAAGTAGAAGCTCCTCAGAGAGGTGGTAAGATGGGAGGCAGCACAGGGCGCGGTCAGGAATATTTCCTATGCGTCCTGCTGTGCGACCAGATTGATGGTAAAATTCACACTGAAATAGGGAAGAAGGAAGTGCCTGTGGGTAAGAGGAGAGTGAGCAATTCAATTTTAAACATGGTAAACTTGAGAAACGTGTGGGCCGTCCAAGACAAACACGTGAATATGGAGATAGGGAGCTCTGGTGTGAGATCTGAGCTGGAGGTAGAATTTGGGGAGTTCTTGCCATTTAGGTGGTAGTGAAGCCACAGGAATAAGTGGCATAACCTAGAGGAAACTGTAGACTAAAAGACAAGAGGGTTACTAAGAATAAAACCACAGGATAAGTTCCATTTTAAGGGGTGGACAATGGATCTGGAATAAACAATAGAGGGAAGCAAACAGGCATGACTCTGAAGCCATACAAAGAAATAAAGTAAGATCAATGATCAAAGTAGGGTAAGAACTGGTTCACATAAAATTAGCACCCACTGGATTCAAATAAAAAAGGGGGACACTGGTGGTCTTTGTCCAAAGAATTTTCAAAGAGTGCTGGGTGAACAGGAAGTAAGATCATAGAGAAATCGAGTATAAATCTTTCTTTCCAAAAGTTCAAAAGAAAAAAAGAGAGAGAGGGAACTAGAGAAATTCAACATAGGTGAGAAATTCAGTTACAGCTGTCACCTCAGTATGTCATTTCTAATTATAGTCTGTTATGGTCATGAGAAGCTCTCCATAATCGTTAGGCTCTTTTGTGCCATCTTCTTAGCAACTTAATTTTTTAATTTAATATGCAGAGTCTCTAACTACACTGGAAATTTTCAAGTTTAGATGATTTACTGAACCTGAAATATATCCATAAAAAGTCATACATATTATCTCACCACCTTAAAAAAAAATACCAGAAAAAAGAACTGAAATGTAGCCATTTGGTGGCACTGCTACCCTAGATTTTTTTGCTTAGGTTGCTGCTACAGTCAAATTCTATTCCAAAAAAACAAAATGCTGATTTTCAAACTTCCTTGATAGTATAATTTGTCATTATAAATACATGTTCAGAGATCATGTTTCTAAGGTAGTGGGAGAATTGAAAATAAACTAAAATGGAGGCTGAGCCCACAGTGCTGTTTCCTGTCCTTTGTCCTCTCTGTTCTTTTCACCCACCTCTTAGTGTCTTCCCCAAAGTTTACTCTGAAAGGGTGTCAACAGCTCATTCAATGTATCAGTGATTTTCAGACTGACTTTTCCAGGCCAGTTCCTAACAACATCTGAATTCCTCAGATAAAGTAAACTCAGATAAAGTAAAGTCATCACTTTGACTCATTGTACTAGAATGAATTTATATATTCACTATGAAATTTTGTTTCATTTTGTAAAGTTAGACCTAAAATTATGTTCTTGCACAAATTAAAAATTCCAAGTCCTTTTAAGAAGGGTTCCTAGCAGAGAACAGGTATATAGGTATGAGAATAATATAGTGAAGTACCTGATCAATACTATCAGCTCCAGCATCAAATGGCAAAGAACAAATATTAATTAAAGCTCATTCATTCCATGCTCAGATATAAAATAAGAACTCACTATTTATATAAAGACCATCAAAGTAATAAACCTATTTTGTGAATGGAGAGAAAATTACAGGGCTCTACATGTAGACATGTCAAATATGGATGGGCCATGATTTTGTATGAGGGTGTGGAGGAAGTAAAAGAGAGAAACAGTTGATGTGAAAGTCATCTTCACCCTGAGTTATAAAAAAAATCTTGATATATAGTTATTGTCCTTGGCTATAGTATATATGCCTTTGACTCCACTTTCTATTCTGTTACTCAAAAGTAAACAATCTTAATCATTTATAAATCGAAAATATTTTTTATCCATCCCTCATTTAATATCCCAATTACCATTATTCTGACAATATCACCCTTAAACTATCAAAAGATCCCAATCCTTTATCTCCCCCATCCATGAAGCCTTCCTATTCCTGTTGACCACCTTGCTGATTCAGCATTGCACTGCTCACATTGTACTATTTACATGCAGAAAAGCCTTGACTGACTGCTCCCTACTAACAAATAAATCTGAAATTCTTAGGGTAGTCTATGGAAGTCCCATCTCCTGCTCCTCTCTTATATATTCTCCCACAAAGCCCAACTTAGGTCTCAAGCTTCCATTCCAAAATATCATTTTTTCTATTTCAAATCAATTTATTCACTATTTGTTGAATAATCTCCAAATTTTGTCTTCTCCTTTTTAGTTTGTTAGGTTCTTTCCCTCCTCTTTAGCTATTCCCATCATCTCTTCACTTTCAAACACTCCTTATTCTTCAAATCATAGAGTAATGTGTACTTCCTTCAGCAGACCTCCCAGGTTGGTCCAGATGACAAGAGTACATGTATATATTGTAAGTCTCTTTGAACTCAGACAACACTCTATCATATTGATGCTAATGGGTTACTGTTTTGTGCCTACTCATTTTCCCTATAAAAGTAGATTCTATTTCTCATAAGTACACAAAAATGTGTTTGAGGAACGAACATGCCTTGTAAAAACATTTTAATATACTTCCCCCCAAAAATAAGAAGCTTAGTGCCAAGAACCTCAGAGGTCCCAAAAATATGTAAGAAAACAGATTGACAGTAACCTTCCAAACCCCTCCCACACACACATCCTTTTTAAAAAACATATATCTCTCTGATATTCATTTATATTCAGAACTTTTAGTAAGTTATTTTTTCTTATTATAAATAGTCAAGGAGAAAAATAACATCTCATATATTTATCCAATGAAAAATATACATTGGAGAGAGCAACCAAACAGATTGTTAGTACAGTAAATTTACAGCATTGAAGAAAACGTTTTAAATTACAACACCAGAGAGTGGAAAAAAGATAACTGAAATAATACATATGGTTTTGTGACAGTGGAAAATTCTAACAACGGGGAATTGTAAGCCACCAGTCTTTTGACATCGTTCCTGTAAATGCTGACTCTGACTAATATGTAGCTTATAGATAAACAGCATGTTTATATAAGAATCCTAGGACCTAACTTCAAACGACACAGACTTTGACCTTCAGGCATCCCAGCTCTTGGAGACTGCTGACCTTCAACCTTGGAATCAGGATGACGTGAAGCCAGGATGAGTAAACCAGGATGATGCACACGGGACCATCACCTGCCTTATTGGAATGGACTATGCTAGTCTGCACATAGAGAACTTTGCTACCTGCTCCCTTGATCTCATTGTTCTGTTCCCCTCTCCCTCCTTATAAAAACTTCTGCTTCCACTGAGACATGGAGATGAGCTTTGAGACATGAGTCCCCCATCTTCTAGATGGCTGGAATCTGAATAAACCACTCCACTGTACATCAGCACCTGCCTCTAGAGGACTGGCTTTCAAAGCGGCAGGCAGCCGGACCTGCTGTTCAGTTACTTTAAAAAGAGAATTAAATGCCACTACACAAATATTTGAATATTGACAGAGAAAATTCTTATGCCTACAAAATCTTACCCAATTAAAAATATAAATAAACTCCTAAATTTCAAAATAATTTCATGAGGAAGAGTTAAGAAATAATGGGAGATATTCAGATATATTCATTTAAGAAAATTACTTACCACCTTATCATCGCCAGGTGCTTCTGTGTTTGATATAATTAAATTTTGCTGCGCCAAATCTTCAGGAAAACCTTTTTTTCTGGCACCAACCACTCCACATACTAAAGTTAGCAGTACAGCTAAGTTTGAAAACAAAGTGAATATATAAAGTTTAACGTACATAGAATAAAATACGGATCTTTTGTATTTTATCACCTAAGGTGCACAGGAGGCAAATAAAGCCACTAAGCATGGTGTCCCATGAATCATTTTGACCTTTCTAAATTAACAGACCATGATTTAGCTTAGAGTTTAAAATTTGGCATGATTGTATTTATATTTTCATGATAGTCCCTTTTAGGAGTTTGAATTCCAACCATCATACTAAGGGATTTACAATCATGAGTTAAGTAGTACTTTTTTTTTTAAATCACTGACATTAAGACAAAGATTTTAAAGAGACTTACTGATTCCCAAAAGAATGGTATGCTTACAGGAAAGTATAACAACTCATTTTTCCCAGAATAGATTTATCTCCAAGTATCTTAATTAACCCTATTTTGCATTTTCTCTATTCAAGATTTTCATTCTACACAATAATTTTGGGAGGCTAAAATATGTGATAATAAAACTAATAATAATAACAACAATTCCTCATAATATTCTACAATCTGCTATGCCACAAATTCCCAAACCATAGCCCCAAATCCAGCCCACCACATATTTTTGTATGGCCCATGAGTATGGTTTCTATATTGTTAAATGGTTGAAAATATCAGAAATAAGAGTTTATTATATGTGAAAATTATATAAAATTCAAATTTTAGTGTCTACCAATAAAGTCCCATTGGTACACAGCAACGCCCATCATGTAAATATTTTCTATGGTGACTTTCTTGCTACAAGGGCATATTTGATTGGTTTTGTCTGAAACCACATGGCCTGCATAGTTTAGAATATATATTATCTAGCCCTAGAAAAAGTGTATCAACCCCTGCCTACTCTGTGTGGCCCTTTGTGACCTTTCTGCTTCCATTTTTTACCCCTTTTCTCCTCATTTACTACTATTTACTACTCTCTAGCTACACTGGTCTTCTTGACATTCCTGGATTTCCCCAGGCATACTCTCATCTTAGCCCCTTAGAACTGACTTTCCCTTCTGTCTGAAAGCTCTTTCCTCAGTTATTCCACTGGGCCAACTCACCTTTTCCAAAGACCACCAACGACAGCCTTACTTAGGCCTGACCAAACCATTTACTGAAAATCTCAGTCACCACCAATCTCTCACACTCAGCCCCAACACATTCTACAGGGCTGCAAATCCTAATTATTTTGTTCTATTTTTTTCCTCCTCAGCATTTAATTTATCAGTTTACTATCTCAAGACAGACTTCATTTTTGTCTCTTTTGTACTTTGATGAATCCTATGCATCTAGACACAGTTTTAGGCATGTCATAGGTGTTCAATATATATTTATTTTGTTGAGTTGATGAAAAATAATGAACACTTATTAGAAACATACCGTGCACTATTGTAAGCTTTTCACATGCACTAATTAATTATCAGTGCTACTCCACAGAGTAGGCTACTATAATTATCCCCTTTTACAGGTGAGGAAACTGGAGAGCAGTTAAGTAACTTTCCCCAGGTCACATGGTTTGCAAATGATTAGGTGGGCACAAACCCAGACAGTCAGATTCCAGAGTCTTGTTCTTACTCACTACACCTATCACAGAACAAAGGAACAGCAGCTAAGCTAAGCTTAAGGAATGGGTGGGAATAAAAAGAAAGTAAAAGATATGGTGTCAATGGGAACTAGACAAATGATGAAGAGTAAGTTAATAGAATTCAAAATTAGCAGGATAATATGGAAAAAGACATATTGCTGAACTTCTCCCATAAATCTTATCATAGTTGAATGGTGAGAAGGCATGAAATGAAAATGGCTTTTATTGAACTTTCATATGGCAGAAGTTTTAGATCATTTTATAGAACTAAAAGGTATAGCACTATGACCAAAAAATAAAAGTTTTACATTGACAAATTTAGGACAGTCTAAAGAATTTTCAACAGTTCTGTCCGAATATGAACTCTTTTATCTCAAAAAGGATCTTGCTTCCTTTACAGAAAATGGTCAATCAGAGCTCAGATAATACAAAAGGAATTTGTAAAGAGGACTCACACCTGATGGATGGTTGGACAAGATTATATTTTAAAGACCTTTACTTGCACTCAGACATTTATTATATATTTTAACCTGAAGTAAGTAAAAGAACTTACAGAAAAGTAATGCGATACCCAGTAGTATCGCCAGGATCGCCCATTTACCAAGTGATGTCCCTGCACTTCTTAGAGTCCTCACACATTGACTTGGATAAGTACAATCACAAAGGTTAACTTTCAAGGTTTTTGTTGCAAATTGACCTTCTCTATCTCTTACAGTAATAGGAATATTATATTCATCAAATGCAGCATTTTTGTGATATGAAAGACGGGCAGCTGTATCTGAAAGAAAATAGAAGAATTATATTTTATATTTATATTTACATTTATTCCTCCCTTAGCATTTGTTTCACCACACTAGTTTGGAAAGATCTTATTCTCAAAGAACTGTTTGCCACATGAAAATGAGTATCTTTAACTTTTTCAAGCACTAACATTACTGTGTATGTGTTGGTCATTTTAACTTTTTAGAGAGGAACTTAAAAAACAATTTGACATTGGAGTGACCAAATAGCGTTTCAACAATATTTAATACTCTCTTATCTACAAACTAAGAATGCTACCTTGAGTTTTAACATACACTTCACACATTTTTCTGTAGTGCCAGTTTATGATACTCATAAAGAGTTAACACTTATAATTCTAAACCAAGGATATTTTAAGTTCACATTCTCTTATCCATTTACCTTCTGGTACCCATCCATTATCCCATAGATAAAAAAATTTTTCAAAACACAATAGACCTTTTATGATTAATGCTTTGCCTCTAGAAGTAATCTCAGTACCAGAAAGCTAATTAATGTCACCCAGGTTAGGTATAAGGCTTACACAAAAACAGCTATATCTGTATCACTAAAATACATATTTATTAACTGTGATATTTACCTCAACAGTCTTGATACCTTATTTTAATGACCTTATTATTAACAGACCAGAAGCTCTACACACTTTCAATGACAATTACAACCTTTTTGAGCTCTTGCACTAAGTGGAATGACAAAGTAGCAAAATGCACATCCAGGAATCATCTGTAATTTCTAAGTTGTACTTAAAATGCACTGTTATAATTGTAAGAACTTCAAAGATTTTGGGCTGCCCCTCATATCTGAAGCTTTCCAGAGAATGGGAATTGCTATTTGGGTTTATTTTGACCCTTCAGAATATACTGAGTCTAAGGTAAGATCCTTCAAAGCCCTCTGCTCCCTCAAGACCACAAACTGAGCCATTGCCATGTCTCATTTATTCATTGGACTGCATCAGCCTCTGATTTTCTTTGTCACTCAAGTTTGTAATCTTCAAATTGTCCTCCTAATTGTGTCCAATGTCATTTTTAAGACATAAATCTGGATTCAGCATTGCCTTACTTGCACACTCCCAACGCACACCTTTTGTTACCTAGTGTACAAAGGCCCCTCTCCTTGGGCCAGTACAGAAGGCTCATCACCACCAGATCCCATCTTTCCCTCCACCCATTCTCACAGCGTTCCTACTAAACTGCTCTAAATTCTAAAAACACTGACTGCCTTATAACCCAAGTATTTTCCTTCTTTTATGCATATATATCAATGAATCATTGATTTAGCAAACATTTATTAAGCAGCTAGCATCTCCTAGCACTGGGCTAGGTACTGGAAATACAAAAATAGATTACAAATATCTTGAGAAACTCATGTATATATTGGAGGAATAATGTAAACAGATGATAACACAGCATGAAAAGCACTATAATAAAGGTAGTAAGACATCACAGTGTTCCTCGTACTTCAAGAAAGTTTTCTTTGACATGAGCATCTACACTGGAGTCATGTCTGCCTTGTTAATCTCTATATAGATATACACACACATATTCATATATACACTTAAGTGTGTGTATATATAATCTCTGGGTTATATATATGTATCCATATATAATCTCTGGAATACACACACACACACACGCACACACGGTCTGGAATACTGCCTAGAAGATAATAAGTGACCCATAAACATTATGAACTAATATCAAGCTAAGAAATAAAAAGGGATGTATTCTAGGTAGAAGGAAAAGCATAAAAAAGTCTAACTGCATGAAAGAACATGACATAGTAACAAGCCGTGCACCATGGCTGACATAGACTCCTCCTCTCCCCAGAAACCACTATCACTGGGACCATCCGGAAGGCTCAGTGCCAGACCTCTGTCCATATCCCACACTTCCTTCCAAAATATCAGAGAGTGCTTGTCCCATACTCCCAGATTCCTCAGTTCCACAATTGGCTTACAATCAAATTTAAACTGCCTATCTTTCATTCTCTCTTTACCTTGCTAGAGTTACTTTATAAATAGCCAAAAAAAAAAAAAAAAAAAAAAAACTCATGATAAGTTGCCCAATATTTTAACGTAAATTTTTGTTAGGCTTCTCAAATATGTTAATAAGAATCAATTTTACATGCTTCATGTGAGTAAACAAGTAAATCTATTATTTCAGAGCATATACATTATTTTTTATTGGATACCATTAACTCTGGAGAGGGTCCACATTCTGCTGATTTCTGGAGAAGGGTTTGCCAAGCTGAACTCAAATGGAGCACCATGGATAGGCTCATCAAGATCAAAAGCTGAAATGTCACCATACCCCATCTTTGGTTTGCAGATTACTACATAATCTTGAAGTATTGCTGGTGCATTATCATTTACATCTTCAATGTTAAGTACAAGTGTTCCAGTACATGATCTACCATCTATGAAGAAAGGGAAAAAAACTCAGGTAGTTTGTAAACTCTTTTATAGTTTCTAAAGAAAAAAGATCAGCTAGATTTTAAATATGCTATATTTTTTTAATATACTCCATTATAGAAGAACGGTAAATAAGAACATAGATGTTTAGATGAAACTTACAGATCATCTAAAATGAGTATTGTTGTTGACAATATCAAATACAGATTCCAATAAACTTTTTACCAACATAATTACCAAACAGAAAAAATAAATGAATTTCAAACTCTGTGTCTTGGGTTCCTTCTGGTACAGATGTTAATGAACAGGAGCATGACTACAGACAAATTATTCAAATTCCAGTACACATCCAAACCACCTAGGGATATTTACTTTAAAAATATAATGTCCACCCCTGACTGGTGTGGGTCAGCGGGTTGGGCATCATCCCACAAACCAAAAGGTTGCAGGTGCCATTCCCAGTCAGGGCACATGCTTGGGTTATATGCCATGTCCCTGGTTGTGGGTGTGTGAGAGGTAGCTGATAGATGTGTCTCCTCTACATTGATGTTTCTCTCCCTCTATTCCTCCCTCTCTTCTCTTCTCTCTAAAAATAAACAAAATCTCTCTCTCTCTGTCTCTCTCTATATATTAAGAATATATATTAGAATACATAATATATATTATATATTAGGATATATATTTTATATATATAAAAGAATACCTGGATGGGGTGCTAGCTTGGAGAGAGATATATAATATCTATATTATATAGTATCTGTATTATATAATATCTATATTATATAATATCATATATTATGGAAATATATATCTCTCTCCAAGCTAGCTCCCCATCCAGGTATTCTAATTCAGTTGGTCTCACATAGTGCCCCTACCCTTCTTAAAGTATCACAAATTATTTTAATATAAAACCAGGGCTCAGAAGCTCTGGGTTACTTCAAGCAATAGAATTCAAGGAAACAATTATTTTGATCTAATAGTTGGCAGAATGATTTAAATGATCAACTTAAAGTGACATAAAGAGCCTGGTGAGACCATGTCCCCTTAGGGTTCAGTTTCATCTTTGTTCTCTAACATAAGAGTCTGTAGGCATTTTTAAGGTCTGCCGTGCTGGGAATATAAAGATAAATAAGACATGGTTTCTTGTTTCCAAGTAGTTTCACTTTGTTAGATGATTCAGAGAAATAGGAACAGAGTTTTTAATTTCTAAGAATCCCATATACTTATCACAAAAATAATTCTGCACAAGAACAGTTGCATTATTCTCCAATCACTTTAGGAAACACTAGATTAAAACTTTCTTTGTTTACCTTGGTCTATTGCCATGACTGTAACATTATACAAGGCATTTCTGGGAGTTGCGGCCTCCCTGTCCAGAATTTTTAAAGTTCTGATCGACCCTGACCTTTCATCAATGGTGATCCACTCTTCAGGATCATGCAACTTTTTGTACCTGTTAATAAAAAATAAAAATACCCTTCAGCAATATAAAATGTATTGAAGTAAGTTACTGCCACAATTGTTTCAAATACATTAGCAGTGAATGGTTATAGATTTTGTTGTACCTTAAACCGCTGCTACTTTTAGTTTCGGGGTCATATGCCCTATAGCCATTGACACTGGTCCCCTTTGCTGAATTTTCTTTAATCCGCACATGTTGGGCCGCAGGGCTGCATTCGGGCCCTTCATCCTGGTCCTTCACATGAACTGTAACCAAAGCTCTGTTCGTCGTTGTCCTGACTGCAGCATCTCTAGTAAAAGGAGCTTCATTGCCTACTCCAATTTCCAGGACAACTTTCTGGGTTTCTTCATAATTCAGGGGCTTTAAAAAAGAAATACATGCATTTCAGTATGAGTGTAAAACACATTTGATACTTCAAAGAGCATGTGAACTTTTGTCAATATGACCAGTGCTGTATACATTCCACAGTCCCATTTAGTCAACATTGACTTTATCCTTCACTAAAGAGAGAGGTGATTAGTCACCGAGTCTTTAGCCAGAGTGGTCCAAAAGTTTCTGCAGGTGGTTTTTAGAGTTATGAAAATGCAATTCTTTAAATACTTTTTTGCTTCATTCTTACTGAGAAAAATTATTCTGAAACTGGAGATAATACAAAAAGATGACAGCGTTCTATGGTGCGGCTTTAGTGCACCGACAGACCAGTTCAAAGGTCATCTGACTCTAGGCGGAAGAAATTTTGTTTTGACTTTCTATTTACTATTGACTAGGGCCCAGATATTTTACAGTTCTTATAAAATTAGATGTCAACATAAACAAAACTGAAAATGTGCAATGATTTTATTTTCTCTCTGATAGAAAATATATCCCCAATGCATGTTCTAATTGCCCTACCAGGCATACAACTGAGCAATCCTTTTTCAGGTATCTGCATACTGCTTTCCACAGTAGCTGCACCAATCTGCATTCCCACCATCAGTGAATGAGGGTTCCTTTTTCTGCCCATCCTCCTCAACACTTGTTGTTTGTTGATATATTGATGACCGCATTCTGACAGGTATGAAGTGATATGTCACTGTGGTTTTAATTTGCCTTTCTGTGGTGATTAGAGATATTGGGCATCTTTTCAGATGTCTATTGGCCATCTGTATGCCCTCTTTGGAGACGTGTCTATTCAGGTCTTTTGACAATTTTTTAATTGGTTTGTTTGTTTTTGAAACACTAATGTGAAAGAATATATGCATCCCTATACTCTTGTAGCACTATTTACAATGACCAAGATTCAGAAGTAGCCCAAGTGTCAGCTATGGGACATTTACACAGTGGAACACAACTTGGCCATACAAAGAAAAGAACACTTTACCCTTTGCAACAGCACAGATAGACCTGGAGAACACTATGCTAAGTCAAACGAGCCAGTCAGAGAAAGACAAACACCACATGATTTACTCATATATGAAATATGAGGAACAAACTGACCTAATAAGTGAAACAGAGACATTCAAAGACAGAGAACAGGCTGACAGGTTGGTGGACAGAGGGACTGAAAGAAAAAGGAGAAAAAGAACTCATGGACACAGACAACAGTGGGGTGATTACGGTGGGGAGCGGGTGGGAACAGGTGGAAGATGAGTATAAGGGGGATAGATGGTAATGGAAAAGAATACAATAAAAATAAAAACTATTACAAAAAGTGAGCAATTTTATCCAAGCTTTTTCTTTTATAAAAACCCACCCATGTTCTCATTTCTTCTTAGGAATCTGCTTTGTCTTCTTGCTGGTTCCTTCATTAATGAGTTAAGTAGAACTTTTACCCATGCTCACTATCTATCTTTATGAAAACTGTGTTTTCACAATTTGAGAATTATACTTTGGCAGTATCTGTAATGTATCCCAAGAAACTCACCCAGTAAAACAAGTTGAGTAAGAGAAATATGATATGCTTGATGGTGCTAACATTATCACCATCCCTGTTTTTCAGAGCAGGAAAGTGGAGAAGAGGAGATAAACTGATTTTCCCACTGTTAAAAGATTCCCCTCTGTGCTTGAGTCTGGTTTGCGCTCATTTCCTTAACCACCACACTACAATGCTCCTGCTTTTCTGCTCTGTTTAATTGGTCTACTAACCTCCAAAAAAATTTTTTTTAATCATTTGATTATAATTGCTTTTCAGACCATAAATCAAGCAAAATCCGTAAAACAGTCTTTTGCACTGGATGGAGAGGTTGTAACACTTTTTCTCTGATTGTTTCTGCTTATCAAAACAATCCCTTGGCTAAACATGGAATAAAATCAAAACTGATAAGTAAAATTTTTGTTTTCACCCTTTTCCCACACCTAGGTATTATTAGGTTGAGATCCTAACAAGAGAATTTCTGAACCTTAGAATCCACAAATGCACATGAAATGTTTTTTGATTTTTTATGACTATCCCAGAAACTGGAAAGTCAAAAATAAAAACAAACTAGTATCTATTTGTTGCTAATGAACACAAATTACACGAGTTGGCATGATCATGCAGAGAGTTGGAGTATCTACCGACAATGAGCAACGGATGGAAATTTAGGAAACAGCTGTTGCACTGAAAGAGGTATAGAGAATGGATCCAGAGCCAATTGCTAAATAAAGCCTTAAAACTTTTTATGTATTTTTCCAAGTATTTAACTGGATAGTGTATATGTGACTTAAAACTCTGCAAGATTAGAAATCCGCTGGCATGAAATCAATGATTAATTTTTTAAAAAACATGAATTATCTTCCATCATAAAGTGACTTTTTGTTTCATCAATCAAAATAAATTGTTCAAAAAGATCTTATAGCCTCACGGAGATGGTAACAATTCCCTAGGAAATTAAGTGTATTATTGTGGAGCTGAGGACCCTCTATACTGAGAATGAGCAAGAACAACAGCTTCCTCACTCAGACCATGGGCGCCGCTGCTGCTGCTGCTGCTTCTGAAATAAAAACAAACCCTGAGATAGAAAACTTATCTAAGACTCAGCTAAAGACGGTATCAGCTCAGGCTCTATGGTCCCAGAAAAGTTATCTTTTTTAAAGAAGAAACCTATTTTTTGTGGAAAATTATAAATAGTAGTACCAAGGACACATTAATACTTTTAAAAATATAGTAATATCCTATAGTTTACCAAGTGCTTTCCTTTTCATTATTATATTTAATAGCTACTAGGGAGGCAGAAAGAAGTATTTTTTTTACAGATAATACAAAGGCTAACTTATATCATGTAAGGAATAGTTGAAATGAAGTGGGAATATTTATTCTAAAGAAGGTGAATCTCAAGTGGACATAACAGCTTTTCAAAAGAATTATACCTTCTCTGTATAATATTTGCAATAAAACATGGATCAAAGACAGGATATAAGGAAAATAATTTAGGCACAGCAGAAGTAAGGACTTCTGAGAATCAGAGCTCTCTAAATTAGAATAAACTGCCAATCAAGACATGGAGATTCTTGTAATTGGGAATGTTCAAGCATGAGTTAGGTGACTAATAACTAGCAAATAAACTAGAGAAGAAAGGCAGGCGTTAGACGGGAACAGTAGGACTAAGGAGACTGGTCTCTTCTAACTTGTACAGAATTGTATGACTTGTATGAATTGAAACTACTTAGTTGGTTAAACCATTATCTTATTAAAATTTGTTAACTTTCTAAGTTGTCAACTATTCATTATTACCGTACCTTTACAATACACAGAACGCCTTCATTAGTTTTTTCATCTGTACTGATTTTGAAATGTGCATTTTCATTGCCCTTTAAGATGGTAAAATTGGCTCTCCAGTTGGCACTGTTAACTACATCCTTATCTTCTACAGGGAGCCGTAGGAGTTCCACATTGTATGTATTTTCCTCTACTGTTACTGTATACTGGAACAGAAAGAACTCATTACAAACTTATTTGTAAAGAACGTTTTTACAAAGAAAGCAAAATGTTTCGTCTACTCCAAAATTACTTGTTCTTAGCATTTTTGCCGAGCTTATTTTAAACCATGAATCTCAAATAGTATTATTTCACGAAGACATCGTTTAAATGAAATAATTTCATTACAGATGAAGACTGTTACTGGCCTTTAACAAGCGGTCAGAAATGTAAATACTACTATGAACAGATAAAACAGACATATATTTACTATTTAATTTATTCAAAATACATTTACTCTGAAATATGATATTTATTAATTCAGATTAAATAACAAATGACAATAAACAAAAATAGATTTTGGGATTATCTACTTACGACATTTTGCAAGAAAACAGGTGCATTGTCATTTGAATCTGCTACTGTTATAAGACAAGTCGATGTAGTCATCAATCCAAAAAATTGACCATCCATGTCTTGTACTTTAAGTATCAATTTGTATTTGTCTACAACCTTAAAATAAAGCAAATATTTAATTAGTTTTGGACATCTTTGTTTATATTTATAAATGAAATTTTAATTGTACACTCTTCTGTTAGTGTGTATCCATGCTTTTATCTTCATATTTGCATATACTCTAAGAATTTGGTAGACAGGGATAAAGCTGAAAAGATAGGCAGAGATTACATTATAAGGAGCCATACTAAGAATTTAGACTTATGTTTTAAATGGCAGGTAATAAGAAAAGATTTTCCTGAAATCATAGGGGGAAAGCACAAATTAAGAAAATTTGAGTTTTAGAAAGAATATCTTTAAAGAAAGTTGAGAAGAATTTGAAGTAAGCTGAGCTAGAAGTCAAAGAAGCCAATTAAAGAGCTCCTAAAACACTTTAACACAGGTGGTCCAAATCCGAGGCAGTAGCAATGAGGACAGAGAACAATGGTGACAAGGAAGTTCAGGTGGGAGTCAGAATGCCACATACAAATGAAGAGAGAAAGAAACGTTGAGAATGATGCTCAGGTGTCCTACTTGGATAGAAAGGCAAACAGTGGTATCACCAAGCAATACAGGAAATTCAGAAGAGAGTTCTCTGAGGAAGTGAACACTAGCAAGTTGACAAGGATGGACAAAAACACTGAGTTATGTTTGGTATATATTGAATTTTACCTGCCTATGGAAAATCTAAGGAGAAAGGTCCAGAAGCCACCTTGGTATCTGGTCCATACTTATGGAAGAGATCATAGCCAGAAATACCAATCTGGGAATCATGTATTAATAGATGGTGGTTGAAATTACGGCAGGAATCAGATATCTAGAAGATGTTAAAGGATGAGAAGAGCTGAGGATATAAGATAATAGTATTTCAACAGCTGAGAATATAAAGGGAGAATAAGAAGACTAAGCAAAAGATACCAAAAACAAAGGATCAAAAAAGCAAGAGGAAAACAAGAAATCCAAGAAATGAGAGAGTTTCAGTAACTGACAATAGACAGGGACTTAAAGTAACTTGGATTTGACGATTAGGGAATCTCTGTTGACTTCTGGGAATGGAGTTTTGCAGATAGTGTGTTGATGATGAAAAGGAACCATTAGTTTATGACAGTCATCTCTGTTGCCTTTCCTTTCTATCTCACTATTCTTTAGCCATTCCTTATATTGTTTAATTTTTCTTCATTTTCTGTTTCCCTCTATCTCACCCACAGGCTTCATTTTACCTATCTCCTTTCCACACTGGAAAACAATGTTCCTACCCTAAAATGTTCCACTCAGAGGCTCCAGGATTTTAATCGCCTATTTTTCCTTCCTCTACATGCACTGTTTCTTTACCTCTCTTGTTCACTTCTTGACTTCCTGTATTATTCTCCACGAAAATCCTATTAGATTTTTTTTATTAGATAAGCAGACCTGGGTTTGACCCCCTCAAAGCTGTATCTTTAGTAAAACCTTAAATTATCTTTTCTATCTTTAAAAAATGAGGAAAAATCCTTGTTATCACTTGATTACCACATCATTTCTACATATTACACAGATAAAAAAACACATTCATATTGTCCCCTTCAAACTTTCCCTTTTATTATTATCTTATGTACTTTATCACATAAAATGTCCTGCCTGCACAAATGCACAAAAAATAAACCCCAAAATAATAAAACCTCTGTACTTCTTTTGATTCCTTTTTATACGTTCTTACTTTCTCTCCCTCTTTTTCTATTGCATCAAATCCCACTGATTTCTTTTTTAATCTCTCCGAATCATACGGTCATTCCATTTATGTTATTCTAGTAGGAAGCACTTAAGTGTTCTAGCAAAGCATTTTATTTATTTTTTATTGTTGTTCAATTATGGTTGCCCCACATTTTTCCCTGTTGCTCTCCCCTGCCCTGCCCAACCCCCCCACCCCTGGCTCCCACATTCACTCTCCACCTCATTGTCCATAGAAAGCAATTTTGTGCATATGAAATTGATTAATCTGCCTCAGTCAATAATACTGACTCACAGTTAAATTAGGCTAACAAAATCAAGTCAGTCAATCCTTCTGACTATCATATTTCTTCTTATAGATTGGCTACAACACCTATCTAGTCAAAGAAATTTTAAAAATCAAATAAAATTATGCACAAAGAATTTGAATATAAAACACTATGTATACACTATACATAGCATATGATAGTAATAGCATACATACTATTACTATCACATATGCTATTACTAACAACTAAATAGTGTCACAGATTTTCAATTATAAATTCATAAACCTTACTTGAACAAATCTGTTCCAGATAAAAAGCACACATATAAAATAACTGAATAGGGATCAAGGTATGATTTATATTCATCAACAAACAAAACAAATTGTCTTTTGTGAGAATTAAATCCTTTACTAAGCTAGCACCAACCAAACACACACACAAGAAAAAAATTATATTTAATCATAATAACTTTCTTAAGAAATATCTTTTGTTCCCACACCTAAATGCCAATGAATCTGTATTTCTATTTCTTATGACTTCTCTTACATTAAAAAAAAAACAGAAGTAATATAAAAACCAGGCAACATGGCCAGTAATTCTTATTTCCTTATGCCTAAGTAAAATAAAATAAATAGCAAGGTACAGTAAGTGGGAAAAAGACAAGGCCGCAACCCCCAGTAAAAAGGTACTCTGGAGAGTGTGAAGGCTACCTCTCTGTCCAAATACTGAGAGACTATGGTGATTGCGCCTGTGGTGGGATGTACGGAAAAGAGCCCAGGTGCTCTTGGTATCTGCTCCAAAATGCTGTACTTCAGGCGCGTATGCATCGTGTCTGGCTCATCTCTGTCCGTGGCACAAACCACTCCCACTGTAGTGCCTACATGTTTTGGAAAAAAAAAAAAAGTGTTAAATTATCCAGAATTGTTACACATATTTAGGAGTATCTATACTTTTTATGTATTTAAAATGTATTTCTTACCAGAGGTATTCCATTTTGACATAATATTGATGAAGATGACTTCAGATTTGTAACACAAAACAGTTGGATGCTGAGAATCAAAGTATACTTTTACTTCACCCACAGTGCAAAATGTTTAATGGTAAATTGCTAAAATCATATCTAATAGGCATTCAAAAATATTTTCAACACATTTCCGCATATTGCAATCACAAACCTAGTTGGATAGATAAACCATGGCTCCTGAGTAAATCAGATGTTTTAATTAAACTTCTGATTAGTAATTAAATCAAGAGTGATTTAAGATATATTTGTATAGGTGGTCAAGTTGAAATGTCACAACCCAGTCTCCTTTCTATAATGTCTTCATTTTTTGGCAGTCTGATTTGTCTCATTCTTTTCTGCCAGCTTAGTATTCACACACCACCGCCCTCAGGCCTGCTTAATCCTCTGGAAGGGATTTCATTATATTTACCATTTGGGGAGAATGTGTCACCTGTATAGAATGTAGGAATATTGCCCTGGTAAAGGATTTCAGGTATCAAAAAATACATACAGGTGGTATATTTATACTATAAGGATAGTGTTCCAATGCAAATGCAATCAGTAGATCCATTGCGCCTATAACGCTGTATGTAAAGCCCGCCTGAGGAACAACACACCTATACATACAACTACACATATATACTCATTGAAGTATAGTATTTGAAGGAAAAAAGCCAAGTAAATCTTTTAACATGAGGACATATTAGTTTTAAATAATTTTCTTACTATAAAACATCCTTAAAGTTTATACATGTGTGTATAGGTGTGTACATAGACATATACAGTGTATTTCTAAATTTTTTATATATTTTATTTTATATATTTATTTACATTTTATATAGTAGAGAATGTCAAATTACATGTTTACAACTAATGACAAGATTTCTGCAGTGGATCAATATGAAGACATGAACTAATAATCTTTTTACCATAAGAAAATAAGTGTTATTCATCTATCTTTTCACAGAAAAAGTTTATGATCTTTGTAAGACATAACATTTTCTTCCTGTAACTGTACTGATAGTCAGGAAGATATAAACACTATTTTAGTTCCCTGGATATAGAGCTGCTTTATTTATCATACAAATCTTCCTAAAATCTTGAAAATTCCTTTCCATGAGTGTTATTTGTCAATATTAACTGAGCACCCTTTGTCCAAACCATCTGTGTTTGGCTGAAGGCAAACTTATGAGCACCTGTTAGTTCAGAGCATCACAGCCTTAATTGGTCTGAACCTACTGGTATGAGATGCTTAAAATACCCTGGGCTAATCTGGGCATCGGACTGTTTATCTTTGACTTCTGTTACTTCCGACAAGAATAAAATCTTCAACAGAGTCTGAAACCAGTCATCTCTCTTTGAAAAAAAAAAGTAACAAAGTCACAGACTTGTGAAGCTAAAAATATTATAGGTCATCTAATGTATTGAGAATAACTAACTCATTTTACAGGTCAGAGAACTCAAAGGGACTTCCATGAATTCCCACAATGAGTTAATAATAGATCCCAAATCAAAACCTAGGTTTCCTGAGCTCCAAACCAATGATCTTTATTTGTGTAATTGTACAATGTGAGTATTAAAGAGGTCTGCATCTAGGACATCAATTATCAAAGTAAAAAATGAAGGGATAAGCAAGCATAATCATTCAATGAAGATCTAAGTAAGTAGCAGAAACCTTAATGGGCTAGTTTGCAAAGGCATCCTTTATGACTGAGTCCACGTCCTTTCAACTTTATTGTGAGTGGCTATTCTCCATATTACAAGCCTCGGAAGACATCATGAATGCCACATTAAAAAGCCAACTAAACTGAAACACTTTGGTTTTCCACATGTGAGAACATGTGTTTAGAATGGAGAATATATAAGTTCCTCTAATGTTATTACAGCATTCATTCTCAATTGGAAGTAGTAGTTTTAAGAGAAGAAATAGAAATGAGCTTTAAAAAAATTGTATCATTAGTGTATGTCATTCAACACCTCCCTAAATAAAACCTAATAAAAAATCTATTTTGATTTTAGTTCTATTGTACATTCTTCCCTGCATGTCCTTTGCTTGGAGGTGAGAATACTGATAAACCCACATAATGATAACATGAAATAGAGTATATAAACCAAATATGGTACAAAGCTTAAATAACTGCCATCTGCCTTTACAAGTATGCTTGTTATCATTATTGACAACACCACAAACTATTATAATACCCTCTAAGTTACACATTGTTTGTATTCGGTAGGATTAAATATATTCTGTAAATACATACTGGTCCAATATCATCTCAGGATGATCAGCCTTGAATATAAAATACTCAGTACCTCAAAAATGTGCACAAACATATTTAACATAATCCATTTTACTCTTAAAAATTGTCTTACATTCAAGTCTAAAAGGAAAACACCGTTCTAAGTCTACCATGGAGAGATTTAACTAAATGAAAGACCTGAACTTCTCTACCACAAAAAGGAGCTTTAATAAAATTGAAAAGCAACAATACACTGAGAAAATACTTGCAATGTGACAAGTTAATACCTTTAATATGTAAAGAACACTTTTAAGTAGATTTTAATAATAGTTTAAAAAAAGATACACACCAAGGAAAATAAGAGCAAAGGAAATGAACATAGATTTTGTTTAAAAAATATACAAATGAGCCAAAGAAAATGTGCACAAAAATAGTTTAAAAATATCTTGTCTTACCAAGTCTACTACTTTCTGGAACTTCAAAATTATAAATTTGTTCTGTGAAAATAGGGTGGTTGTCATTCTCATCTTCCACTCTGATGGGCAATGGAAGAGGCAAGTCTGCTGAATAGCCATCTGCAGTTGTCGCATAGGCAATCAACTGAAACACAGGAAAAAGCAAGTTCAGTAGCCCATTGATATAAGATTCTAGCAAGAGAGAATACTATGCTTTATACTACCTTCCCTACAAATCTTTTAATAATAAACCACTTAATTTCTATTCAGTGCTTTTTTAATCATTGAAGCACCAAATGGAGGAACACTTTAAGTACAGTAAAGAGCATCCAGTATCTGGTACAAATGTCTATACTTCAAATAAAGCTTCAGAATACAGTGAAATCATGGATAACTCTGTAGATTAGACTGAGAAATTAATATACATACTAGGATTAGAGTCCTATTCTCTCCATAATCAGAAAATTGTGTTGGAGAAAACAAACTCACTGCAATGGGGAAAATCCCCATTATATCATCTAAAATAAAGCTGTGATTTCCAAACTGGAAACTATCAAGTACTTTTATTGTTTTACTTCATAGATCACATATTTTAAGAGTTTTTCTAACAAAATCCATGTATCAATTTTTGCATTGCTAAGTAATTAAAGGCCCTGTAATGCTGAAAAGAATATATTTCCATTCAACATATGATTGTAACACTGGGCTGGTAATTTTCCAACCAAAAATTAAGAAATATCATGTGGTGGACATCAGTCACATTAGTTTACTCAGATCTCTTTCTTCTTCTAGAAAGAGAATTCCTTTTTCTTAGGGGAAATCATTGTCCCTGTGCCACAGGGATGACCACATGACCCCACAGCATTTACCATATTACACTAAAAGTCGTCTGCGTCACTCCCCGTGGCTGTAAGTTCATCTATATCAGAATGCTGGCTTATTAACCCTTGTTTGGATTTGGACTCCCACTTTTGTTTCCTAATCTAGTTCTAAGACATGATGAGAGATCATACAAGTGGAAGGAGGGCAAACAAAAGAGCAGACGAAGGAAGACTGTGGCCATGTCCTGGAGAGAGGAGACCGCACCCTGACCAGAGAGAGTGAGGGTATCTTATAAGCAAAAACAACTCCTGGAAACTTACTGGAATTTACATTCAAATACAATTAAAGCTCTTTGCTTCATTTCAGGCAACAGAAGTTAAGATAACAAGTATTCAAAAATATTGCATAATTTATTTTCTTTAACTTTAAGATACTGTCTAAGAAGAGGGTACAGACAAGAAAGAGTAGATGGAATATCAGAAGAAACATGGTTTAATCACTTAAAGTCATAAATATCAATGAAACTCCTACATCAAAAACATCATATTCTTCACGATCCACAGGCCCAGTACAAAACAGATTTCCAGTGTTTTTTTCTATGAAAAACAAATTTAAAGGTTCTTGGTCAACTCCACGTCCACTTATTGAATAGAAGATGGTATAGTTCTGTGCTGCATCAGACTGAACCTAAAAGGAAAAAAATATATACAAAATATGTAAAATATGTAAAAAAATTAAAATTAAATTCTATTACAATGCTAATTTTTAAAAATGTGTGCTCATATTTTTATTTTTAAAAGACAAGTTTAATAAAATAATCACAGGTCACTTCATAAACACACTAGCCAGTAACAAACATTTGGGAAAATATTTTTTTTGAAACTGCTCAAATTTAATTAAAACAGTAATCCCCAAAAATCTAATTAAAGCAATAAGCATAATTTTATAGTTAGTAATTTGGCAAAAATAGAAAAGAGCAGTAATACTCATTGTTGGCAAGAGCAAGGCAAAAAGAGACTCTCATATATGGTGAAGGGAATGCTACTTGGAAAGTTCCTTTGGAGAGGAACAGACAAAAAGTAAAGGAATTAACTATGAAAATGAAAAGGAAAGTCTCTTCTTGATGGAGGAAACAGGAAGAACAAAGGGACCAGGGAAGGGTTGTGCTTGGAGTGTTCAAGGAGCACCAAGAAGGCCACTGTGGGTGAGAGAGCTGGGAGAAAGGAGTAGGAGGTGAAGAGGAATTCTATAATAGCGGTCACATCCGCTAAGTGATTCCACAGAATGCTGGCTTTTCCTTGGAGTCAGATGAAGAGACAATTTAGACAGGAGTAATATTATCTGACTTGTATTTTAAAAGGATAATACTTGACGTTTTGTTAAAACTAGACTTGGGTGGATAGGAAAGGGAAGAAACAGGAAGACCATTTAGAAAGTTATCGCAATACTACAGGGGACAGTGGTAGTTTGTTAGACTAGCATAGTAGCAGCAGAGGTGGTGACAAATGGTTAGATTCTGAATATATTAACAATTTGAAGATACAGTCAACAGGATTTGCCAATGGGTTGGATGTGTGGTGCGAAGACATAAGCTGAGACTGACACTATCTCAGAGGATGCTAGACTCCCTTAATGCCTACTCAGTAGGTGAGTGGATAAAAAAGCTGTGGTATGTTTACACATTAGAATATTACTTGGCCATAAAAAGAAAATCTTTTTTTAAGTATTTTTTATTGATTTTGCTATTACAGTTGTCCCATTTTTTTCTCCCCTTTATCCCCTTCTGCCTAGAATCCCCATCCCTCAACATTCCCTGCCTTAGTTCCTGGCCATGGCTTGTATATATAAGTTCTTTGGCTTCTCCATTTCCTATACTGTTCTTAGCCTCCCCCTGTCTATTTTGTACCTACCAGTTATGACCAAATATGCTTCTTATTCCCTGTACGTTTTCCTCCATTCTCCTCCTTCCCCCTCCTCACCAATAACCCTCCAAGTGATCTCCATTTCTATGATTCTGTTACAGTTCTAGTTGTTTGCTTAGTTTGTTTTTGTTTTTGTTTTTTAGGTTCAGTTGTTGATGGTTGCCAGTTTGTTGTCATTTTACTATTTATAGTTTTGATCTTTTTCTTTTTCTTAGATAGTTCCCTTTAACATTTCGTTTTATAGGGGCTTGGTGATGATAAATTCCTTTAACTTGACCTTATCTGGGAAGCACTTTATCTGCCCTTCCATTCTAAATGGTATCTTTGCTTGAGAGAATAATTGTGGATGAAGGTCCTTGCTTTTCACGACTTTGAATCCTTCTTGCCAGCCCCTTCTTGCCTGCAAGGTTTCTTTTCAGAAATCAGCTGATAGTCTTATGGGAACGCCTTTATAGGTAACTCTCTCTTTTCTCTTCCTGCTTTTAAGATTCTCTCCTTATCTTTAATCCTTGGCAATTTAATTACGATGTGTCTTGGTGTGTTCCTAAAAGAAGAAAATCTTAACCTTCTGCATCATGGATGAACCAGGAGAATATTATGCTAAATGAAATAAGCCAATCATAGAAGGACAATCTCCATTCATTAGATTTCACTTATATGTGGGACCTAATGAACAAAATAAACTAACAAACAAAATAGAAACATACTCATATATACAAAGAACAGACTGACATCTGTCAGAGCAGAGAGGGATTGGGAGCTGGGTGAAACAGATGAAGAGATTAAGCAAAAAAAGAACAAACTCACGTAGACAAGAGTATGGTTATTACCAGAGGGAAAAAAGGGGGTCAGGGGAAATAGAAGAAGGTAAAGATGGAATAAATGGTAATGGCAGGAGACTTGACTTGGGTGGTGAACACACAATACAATGTGCAGATGATGTATTATAGAATTGTACACCTGAAACCCCTATAATTTTATTAAACAATGTCACCCCAATAATTTAATAAAAAATAATTGTTCTCAAAAAAACCTTTGTTAGTATTATAATTTATGGCTCAACACAGGGTAGCCCTAAGTAAAGACATTTCTCTGACTCCCTTGCAATTAAATGTGGCCACACAAAAAGGACAGGTCAATGAAGTGTGAACAAAAGTCATATGTGCAAGATCCAGACTGTGCTCTAGAAGGTGGAAGAGGATGTTCTTTCATTTGGACACAGCGATGAACCATCTTGAATGTGCAGGGATGGCCAAGCTAAAAATTAGAAAAGTCTGGGTCCTTGGTGTTTACTCAAATTATGACTTTCTCTACCAGATCACATATTTACATGAGAGGAAAAAATCTCTGTCATGCTCAAGCCATTAGAACTTGAGATCCTGATCAAATGCAGTTATACCAATATCCTATAATAATACAGGGCTTAAATTAACTGAAAACAATAGATGGATATGTTGATTTGGGGCTCAATATCTATTTTCCTCCTTCTACTGTGATTTCTCATAGTGTGGTTAGAAAGATTAAACCAAAAGCTTTCCATTTTCCAGAGTCTCTTGAAACCAGAGCTCTAGATTTAAATACAGACAATGGGATGTGCTTGCATGAGATTTGGAATCCATAAGTCAGGTAGATGTCTCATTTGTGCTGTTTTTGCTGGCATTATTGTCTTGTCTTGTCTTGTCTTGTCTTGTCTTCTCTCTTTCCTGCATCAGCAAAAGTTCCAGTAGTTTTTTCACATGGTTTGTGGATATTGAAAAAAAAGGGTATGGATTAACCTTCTTCCTGACTGCAGCAGTTAAGAAGTTGTTCTAGAGCTGCACTTGGTGAAACAACTTCTTTATTCTGGTGATTTTTGACCATGGCAGTAGCACTTTGGCTCTAGAACTAGTGGCTTCACCATTATGGAGAAAGTAGCTTGTCCCTTGATGGTGGATTCTATGGCTTGAGGTTCATTCCATTCCTGAAAATTCAACCTAAAGTTTGTTTTTTTTGGTCTCCCCAACAATTCTTTAAACTGTTTAATACAGTGTAGCAAATCCCAATCTGTTCATTACTTAAGAGAGACATATGATCTGTACAATTAAAACCTTACTCAACAGATTCCAATGCCAGTATTAATTGAGATGGTAAAATGGTTTTAAGAGAAAATTCAAACATTTGATTTGCATATGTTAAGTTTGAAATGTCTGAGTATTTCCAAGTGGGAGTATCAATTAGGCAGTTGGGGCTTGACATATGAAGTTCTAAGTCTCCAATATATAAATAGTACTTAAAGCTATGAGACTGGATGAGATCACCAAAAGAATTCATATAAATAAACATAAAAAAAATTTTCAACACTGGGCTGGAGGAGGATGAGGGTGAGTAGGAAGGAGAGCAGGGAAGAACCTGCAAAATATACTAAGTGGAAGACAGGTGGATGGTGTCCTAGAAGCCAATTGAAGAAAATATTTTCAGGAGAAGATAGAGGTCAGCTATGTCAAATGTGCATACATATGTCAAAGAAATGAAGACTGAGAACTGGTGACTGTTTTTGCAATGCTCTTATCAGGATAACTTTAGTAATCAGAAATTATTTCTTAATATGCTTCATTAGTGCTTAAAGTACAATAATCAAAGAGAAGCAAAGGTCCAGCACTGGATAGAGTAAAAAATGTGAGACCCTAGAAGGATAGTTAAAAATGTAAATAAATAGCATACAGGTCACACAATTGATACAAAACAACAGCAAACACAGTAATAGAAATGTAAATGGAAAACCCATAGCCCTACTTCAGTCATTGTTTTCATTCCATTAAGATTTTATAAAAAGTAAACCTTGCCTTGCTTAAGAACTTCTTGTGTTTAGGAAAAAGTTAAACTTCCCAACAGAACACACATGTGCCATTACCATTTGACCCCCAACCTGCCCCTTCCGCCTCACCTCCCCGCCCCACCACTGCCATACCTGGGCTCCCAGACTAGGCCACCCAGAGCTCCTCTGAGGAGCCATGCTCACCTTCACGTCTGCACCTCCCTCTTCTCCCACAACTAATTACCTGCACAACACTTTCCCATCCCTCACCTAGCTCGGATGTCTCCTCCTCTAAATCTTTTCTCGTTTTCTACTCCATTGCATCTCAGAACTTGACGCTTACCCCATGAATTTTCTCACCACCTCAACCCATCTCTGACATAGCATTGGCCACTCAGCATTGTAATTCAGTGACCTACTTCTTTCTATCTCCCTCACTTGGCTAAGAAACTACATGAGAGCGAGGGACATGACTAAATTTATTTCTAGTGTCAGTACCTAGAGCAGGGTCTTTCACAGGATATCGCAGGTGTTCAATAACTAGCTGCTAAATGAACGAATACACTAATAAAGATCATTGGATGGCTACAGAGTCTTTCTCATCTTATTATAAGCTTTGAGTGGTTTTCTAGTTCTCATTACTAGCTTTTTAGTGATTTTCTTATATTACTCCCTTTTATTATGCTTTATGAATATCATCAACCAATTTTGTTTTTTTAAATGTTTAAAGAATTATCAAAATTGAATAAAACATACTTTTAGAATTAAAACCCTCCCGATCAGAAGGAATGCAAAACCTACTTGTTGAAGAAACAAAGGGAAAGGGCCCAAGGAGTTCTCTTGCATTGAACAGGGAATCGGTGCCCACCTCCTCTTCGCCCGCCTGAGAACAGTTTCTTTAGCCTGTCTTTTCCTCAGTACCTGCGTGCCGAGAAAGGAGATTCGATAAACAAAAACATCACAGCCTGCTTTGTTGCAAGATAATGGACAGCCCATAAACCTCATGCCTCCCTGGAGGGTCAGTCTCAAGAATTTCATGCTGAAGCTACAGACCAGGTAAAAGTCTTTTTCATTAGAAGGGTAAGAAAGAGCATACTCAGATTGTAAAGGTTTCATAAACTAGAGAATTTCCCTTCGCTTACCTTTCTAACACTGACCGTACTTTCAGGTTAGGAAAATCATTGTAGTACTTACTCTTAGTTCTCCTTGTTCTTTCCTGAACAGAGATAAAGAACTCATCCTCTCTGGAAAAGGCTAGAAACAGGTCTTACTTGTTTTTTTCTGCTAAAACCTCATACTCTCAGGCAAACCCAAGCAAAAAAATGCACATTCTTCATTGCCTTAACACTCTATCTGCACTGTCCACTATGGTAGCCCTAGCAATATGTGACTATTTAAATTTAAATTAATTAGAATTAAATAAAATATAAAATTCCATCCTTCAGTTATACTAGCCACATGTCAGCTGCTCAGTAGCCATTAATATTGGGCTGCCATATCAGAGAGTGCAGATTTTCAAACATTTTCATCATTGCGAAGAGTTCTATGGGACTTTACAAGTGATTTCCATTTCATTTCATGGTATAGCAAAGAAGACATTTTGTTTCCTAAGAATTAATTAATACATTTTATTAAACACTTATTAAAGTGCTAAGCAGTTATTTAAATTAATGCAGTTAACATCAATTAGTCATGATCCAGTCTAAATCATTCATTTCTGTGACTACTTTCATAATGCATTCTTCATGATGTAGAATCTACAACTGCTGTGAATAATCCCGTGTGATGGTCCATCCATACCATGCTATACATACTCTTATTCCTACGTACTTCAGGATTTCCATCTATTTTAACATCAAAATCACCGTGGGTTCTTGAAGTCAACCTCACATTCACTAGAAACCACTGCTCTTAACATTCATTTAATATACATCCTATTGACTGTGGATGAGTCAGGTATTACTAAGGCTATAAGCAAAAAGGAGGTTAATTCATGCCTTTAAATAGATAACTACAGATAAATTGTTTACACTTAAAAAAAAATCTGAATCTTGTAATAGAGGAGTAACCGAATTGCCATTGGCTCACAAAAGCCATTACTTAGACTTTAGGGGTAGAAGAAGCCTTCAGAGGGGAAGTGTCATTTAGATTTAACAGAGCAAAACCTCAGTTTTAGCCTGAGCTCAGACAGGAGGTAGGGCAAGGAACGTAAACACAAGGTAAGGAAAAAGAAGAGTAAAGGACGGAAAAAATCCTATTTATCCTTTGGTCCTCTTGGCAATATTTTTTAAAAATATTTAAATAGAAATAAAAGCATGCCTGAAAATATCAATGTACTTTAAATACCTTCTTCTGATGTTCCAGGAGCACAGTAATCTCCTTCTGGATCTGTTTCCTCGTGTCAGAAAGCCAGATGGTGAACGACCTTTTCTCATCAGATAACACAACCGCACTGGCTGTGTATACTGACCCGTCCCCTAGAACTCTGAAATCAGGGTCACTTGACTGGATAAGGTCTGCAGACCTGAGGCACTCTTCCAAGTTAACTGCAAGTAAAAATGTCCATGTTGTAAAGTAGAAATACATGCAAAAAAAGTGTTAAAATAACTTAACACAATCATCTTCAAAATCATGAAGTGGAATGAAATAAACCAATTACATTGCATTTACCAAATATCTTAACCAGTCTCTTTACATGCATTTTTGTAAAAAGACAATTTTCTTTCAGATAAAAAATAATTCTTGATTATACATTTGTATTAAATAGGATGCTTTAAAACTTTATATGCTTCCAAAAGGCTTGCAAAAATGATCTTCCAATAAAAGAGCTGTGTGTGTGGCAATCATGACAAAGCTGAGCTACACACCCCCACACACACCTGAGTAAATAAACAGAAAAGTTTCCTCAACAATATAGTCTGAGTCTTTTAAGATACACCTGTCTTCAGCCCAAACAGCGATGCAGTGTATGAGGTACGAAAAGTCAAGTAGGGCAAGTATCTTCCAAATCGATCCACGGGCACTTTTCTGTTCTGCTCTCACCTAACCCTCTACCCCCACCCCACTTTCGCCCCCAGGGCTCAGTTCTCTTTGTGTTCCTGGTTTTTTAAAACTCCCCACCAAAAGTCCACATGGGGTCTTCTCTCCCTGGGAATTCTGCCCTCTAATAAAAGCTAAGCAAATACAAATATCAGTTTAAGTGTCTTTATACTTATATCAAAATATCAAATCCATTCCATTGTTCAACTATCTTAAGAGAAACCAAACTGATAAATGAATGCTTAAGTAATAATCTCTCAAAGAATTCGTGTCATCCATACACAGTGCTTTTACTTTAATCCTAGTCTGTCACAGGTGGAAATGTTTAGTGGCAGAGAAGAAAACATCTTTAGGAGTAATGACCTATTTCTCTCATCTTCCTATTTTTAGCAGAATGATAACCTCCGGTCTATTTCCCTAGAGGAATATCCTTAACCTCTGTTTACAACCTTTCTTTTCTTTCTCCTCACAGACAACAGTGAATTTGTTTAATAAAATTAAATGAGACACTATACCCAGAAATGGTACATACACTGTTGAAAAATTATTTAGTATCTCTAGGACAAGCTATATCTCTTTTTTATAAAAGAAGATGCTTTCCTCCAATATTTCCTGCACTAAAGGTAAAGTCTGGCTGGGCATAACCTCCTGCTGTTGAGAAAGTTTGAGGTTCCCTAACTTCTCAGTGTACAAATGACTAAATTCCGTTTTGAAAGGAGTGGCTCACCTTTCTGTTTCTCAGTGCAGCCACTGCATTGTTAAAACCCTGCTCTGACTCTCTCAGCTCCTTACCTATATTTCTCCAGTGCTACAGCCCTAGAGCAATGGAGTGTTAGGCTCTACATGTAATTCTTTACATAATTTTTAAACCCTCAAAACACGAATAACTACAAAAACATGGCTTAGAACATTAGCACTAAAATCAACCACAGAATTAAATGAAGTTATAAAGGACAGAAACATATATTCAAATTACTTTGAATTGTCTCTAATTATAAATAACCAGGCTAATTCCAAAATGCAAAGATTGAATAATCTTCTCTTTCCAATGTAGGTAAACCAAACTTTGTTTTAAAAGCACTGTTTTGAAATTTCTCACCTCTGCCAACCATTTTGTCTGCCTCTAGCTTAGAAGGTGTATTAAATATCACCTTTTTGCAGGCTTCACAAGCAAAACTGAAGACCTAGAATTAAAAAAAAAAATTCACATGAATACAATACAGAATAAAGAACAAAGTTTTAGTTATAGGAGATAAAAAAGTTCTAGAGATTTGTACAGCATAGTGATTATAGTTAACAATGATGTATTGTATACTTAAAATTAAAATGATCACAAATAAAGAGGATGGGAGGAAACTTCTGGAGGTAACGGATATGCTTATGGCACAGACTGCAGTGAGGCTTCACAGATATCTAGTATATGTATCGTCAAACTCATCGTTTCATTTTACGTGGATGGATGATGCTTTCTGGACAAACCTCATATACTTATCTCCAAACACATTAAATATGTACAGCTTTGTGTATGTAAATATTACCTCAGTAAAGTGTTTGTTTTTTTTTAAGTAAGATAAAGAATAAAATCACACGTTCATCTCAACAGATGAAAAACAACTGACAAGATTCAACATCCATTTATGATTAAAAATGCTCAACAGATGATGAACAGAAGGGAAGTTGCTCATCATGAGAAAGGGCATGTACAAAAATCCAGCCACCATCACACTTACGGGGGGAACTGCTTTCCTCTGACCTGAGGGACAAGACAGTGTTGCCTGCTCTCACCACTTCTACTCAACACTGTATGAAGCTTCTAGCCAGGGAAGATACAGGTACAACATTAAAGGCAGATTGAGGAAAGAAGTAAAATTGTCTCTATTTGAAGATGGTAAGACCTTGTACATAGAAAATCCTAAGAAATCCACCAAAAGAAAATCAAAAATAACACATAACTTCAGCAAGGTTGCAGGATCTAAGAGCAAAATACCAAAGTCAATTGCATTCCTGTAACCATGAAAAATCTGGAAACACAAGCAAACATGCCACTTTAAATAGATATCCCATCTTCGTGCATCAAAAGACATATTCCAAAAATACATCTACAGATTCAATGCAATCTCCATCAAATTCCCAAATCATTTTTTTTTTTTTTTTTTTTGCCACAACTGACCATTAACCCTTACGGAAATGCAAGGGACACAAAGACCCAAATAAATCTGAAAAAGAAGAACAAAGTTGGAGGACATTTTTCCAATTTCAAAACTTACTGCAAAGAAATAACAACTGAGACAGTTTGGTATTAACATGAGGATAAAAATACAGATAGATAGAATAGAACAGAAATCCCAGGAATAAGCACTTATATTTATGGTTAGCTGATTTGGGGCAACAGCTTCAAGAAAGTTCAAGGGAAAAAAAAGTCTTCAACAAATGGTGCTGAGACAATTTTATACCCACATGCCCAAATACCAAAAAAAAAAAAAAAAAAAAAAAAAATTTGGACCCCTACTTCACACCATACATAGATATTAACTCACAATGTATCACAGACCTAAATGTAAGAAGTAAAACTAAAAACTAAAGAATAAATCCTAATGATTTTGGGTTAGGCAATGATTTCTTAGATATAACACCAAAAATATAAACAATAAAAAAATTGATAAATAAGATATAATTGAAAATAAAAAGTTTTGCTCTTCAAAAAATACCATAAAGTGAAAATTAAACCTAGAGAAAGTGAGAAAACATCTTCAAATTACATAATAAATAAAATTCTATCAAAATATATAAAGAAAGAATATAATACAATAATAAAAAGACAACAACAAAAATGAGCAAAGAAATTAAATAGACTTTATCCTAAGAAGAAATCCAAATGGCCAATAAGCAGATGAAAAGATGCCCAATATAATTAGGTATTAGGAAAATGCAGACCTAAACCACAATGATACACCTACTAGGATGGCGATGGCTAACATAAACAAGACAGGAAATAACAAATTTTAACAAAAATGTGGAAAAGCTGGAAACTTTATGCATTGCTGGTGGACATGTAAAATAGTGTAGCAACTTTAAAACAACTAGGCAGTTTCTTAAAAAATCAAATGTAAACTTAACATATGACCCAGTAATTTGAGACCTACCCAAAATAAATGAAAACCTTTGTCCACATAAAAACTGTACATGAATATTTACAGCAGCAATTTTTATAATAGTCAAAAAGTGGAAACTTTCAACTCACATGTCCATCAACTAATGAACAGATCAATAAAATGTGATATAGCCATAAAATGGAACATTATTCTGCTGTAAAAGAAACAATGTACTGCCCTGGCTGGTGCGGCTAAGTTGGCTGTAGAGTCATCCCCTAACCAAATGGTTTGGGGTTCAATTCTAGGGCACATGCCTAGGTTATGGGTTCAATCCCTGGTGTATATGGGAGGGAACCAGTTGATGCTTTTCTCTCGCATCAATGTTTCTTTATCTCCTGTCTTTTTTCTCTCTCTCTAAAAGCAAGAAAAAAAATGTCCTCGGGTGAGGATTTAAAAAAAAAAAAAAATGTACTGATAGCTGCTTCAACATGGATAACCTGAAAAACATTATTCTCAGTGAAAGAAACTAGGTACAAAGTAGCACCGGTATGATATTATTTATATAAAATGTCCAAAAAAGACAAATATATAGAAAAAAGTATATTAGTTGTCTAGGGCTGAGCGTAAGAATGGGAAATGGCTGTAAAACGGTATGAAGGTTTTGTGGGGTTTTTTTAAGGTGATGGAAATGTTTTAAAATCAGATTTTGGTGATGACTGTACATTCTGTAAATTTGCTAAAACTTACTCAATTATACACTCCACACCCAAAGAAGTCACAGCGAAGTTACAGCAAGATCAAGACCACATTAACTGTGTTTTTTGATTGGGAAGGTGTTTTCCATCAAAAGTACGACCCTCCAGGCCAAACAATTAATAAGGAGTACTACCTCAGTGTTCTTCATTGGTTGAGAGATGCAATACCACCAAAAAAGGGGCAACTAGAGGGCACACTCTTGTATCACTTCTCATGCAGAGGTTTTTTGTGAAACATCAAATCACCCAGGTGACTCAGCTCCCCTACAGCCCAGATTTGGCACCCTGTGACTTCTGGCTTTTTCCAAAACTAAAATCACGTTTGAAAGGGAAGAGATTTCAACCCATTGATGAGATTCAGGAAAATACAACAGGACAGCTGATGGCAACTGAGAGAACTCTGTGAGGTCCCAAGGTGCCTACTCTGAAGGGAACTAAGGCGTCATTGTCTTACATACAGTGTTTCTTGCATCTTGTATCTTCTTCAATAAATGTCTCCATTCTTCATATTACATGGCTGGATAATTTCTAGACAGATATCCGTGTGCATCTTTTTGTATCTTGCTTTTTTTTCACTCAGCAATACGTATAAGATTTTTCCAAGAATATATCACAGAATGATCTTTCCCCTATGATGGTAATTTACATTATTTTCTTGTTTTCTATTTTTTCTATTACCAATGATACTGCAATAAACAGTCTCGCAGGCACAATATATGGTAGACCTACAGTAGAAACATATGAGCATCTCCAACCTCCGTAACTTTTGCAAGTTGTTCTCCAAAGTGCTAATATGAATTTATATTTATGCCTCCAGTTTATTAGATCTCTCTATTTCACAAATCCTCTACTACACTTAATTCCACCAGACATTAAAATTTTTGTCAATCTTCTGGTTGTCATTTTTTTAGATTTTCTTAATCTCTATTGAGACTGAGCATTGTTTCTTGTGTTTGTCATATATCTTCTGTACATTGCTTATTCCTCTTTTAATGATTTCCATATTGTTAATCTTTTTAAAATTACTGTATTTTTATTTGTAGGCTTATGTGGGTTGCTTTTTAATACTTTTTTGTGGTATCTTTTGATAAACAGTGCTTCCATTTGAAAGTGGTCAATTTTATTAATCATTTCTTCTGGTTTATACTTTTGTATATTAATAACTCCTCCATTCCATTATAAATATATTATCTGATATTTGTAATTGTGAAGGTATTTCCAAATTTTAAATCTCTTACCCATCTGGAATGTATGTTATATGTGATTCACTCTAACTATTTGATCTTATCTAAAAATTATAAAGTTACTTCCAACTTTTAAATCTTTTACCCATCTGGAATATATTTTATGTGAAAATACATCCATCTGGAATGTATTTTATGTGTGATTCACTGTAACTATCTGATCATATCTTTTTACCATCATTGAATACAGTTTCCTTTCTTAACTAATGATAATGCTGCATAAATTATATGCAAGGCTCCACAAATACAGAATTTATTTCTGGGCTCTCTGCACTATTTCTCTGCTATATATATATATCTATCTCAGTACTATATAGTTTTAATTAATATATCTTTATTATAAAACATGGTATATGTTATAGTAAGCCCAATCCCTGTCATCTGGGGTTGTTTTTTTTTTTTAGCCTTCTACTGTTCCACACTTTTTTTGTTCAGCTGACCAAAATCCTTTTAGATTTTTTTATGCAGAAAACTTGCTTACTTTTATTAGCTATAGTAGTTTGTGAAGATAGTAGTAGTATTGCCCATGTAGCTAATCTTATAGCAGGCAAAATGACAATTAGAGTTTTATCTTACTATGTGCTTGTGACCCCAGTAGGCTGCTGAATAAAAACAGTCATAGTGACCACTGTTGACTTTTTTCTATGTTTGAAGAGAATGTTTTTAGCATTTCATCATTAATCTTGAGTCTTTATTCTTCTATTTCATTTATACATTCATTTATTTTTAAGTATCCTTCATTATATTAAGAAAGTTCATTCCCTTGTATTCCTAGTTTGCTCAGAATTTTTATAACAATAACTATAGTTACCTAATTATTTTGAAATGAACATGTTTTCTCTCTGTATGTACTATGTTGCATATATTACTATGTTAAAGTACAATAATAGATCATCTGAAGTGAAACTATTTTTCCACTCTTGTGGTAAACCTTAATAGGACATGATATTTTTTAAAACATTTTATTACTGGTTTCATTTATTGCTATTTATTTTAATATTTTAAATACATGTTCATAAGTGAGATCAAGCTACTATTTTTCTATTTCATTAAACCTTCAAAAAATGAGTTAACTTTTTTCTGTTGTTTGAAACAATTTTTATAAGCCATAAATTATTTGTGCTATATAATTATGGAAGAACTCACCTATTACAGGTTTGGGCTTGATGGACGTGCACGAAGTTGTGTGGCGGCTTCTAATTCAATGTCTTTAATAGTTTTAAGTCTATATTGATTTTGCATTCCTCCCTGAGTCAATGTTAATTTTTTGTGTTTTGTTGGAAATTGTCTATCTGTGTTTTCAAATTAATTGGAATAATTTATTAATATTAGTATTTATTTTTAAAACTTTTCTCTTCTTGATAATTATGCCTCCTTTTTATTCTTAATATTTTTTGATGTGTGCCTTCTCTATTTTTTACTTGCTCAATCATAGCAAGGTTTGTCCATACTTTCAAAGAAGGGCTTTTGGTTTTGTTTATCTTGTTTGTTTTGTTTTTCAAATGTTCTTTCTAAAACATAAATACAAAAGACTATCTGTAGCATAAATAGGCATTTAAAAAAATAATGAAATGGTCCTGGCTGGTGTGGCACAGTGGATTGAGTGCTGGCCTGCAAACCAAAAGGTCACTGGTTCAATTCCAGTCAGGGCGCATGCCTGGGTTGCGGGCAGTCCCTGGTTTAGGCGCATGCCAGAAGCAGCCGATCAATATTTCTCTCATACATCAATGTTTCTCTCTTTCCCCTTTCCTTCCCCTCTCTCAAAAATAAATAAATAAAATCTTTTTAAAAAAGAAAAAATATAAAAATTTATTAACATAAGTTTAGAGGGATGATACTTCTACATAGATTTCAGCTGGCATGGTTTTTGAAACTAAAAGTGATTTGATACTATGTTTCTGGGGATTGAATATATTATTGAAAGTAAAGTAAAAAATGTAAAAGCATTATTAGATTAGCAATGATGAACTAGTGTGCTTTACAGATATTTTTAAATAATGTTTATATAGAAGAATGCCCAATAAAACTGCAACATACAAAAAGGCTTTTTTAAAGATTGGTGAGTTATGGATTGACTATTTGAGTTACAAAATCTCTCTTTTAATGGATAACTCTTTGGAGAAACTTTAAGTACCTGATTTATAAAACCTAGAACTGTAAGCAACTTTTAATCAAAATATAACATGTTAAATTTGTTTAAATGCTAATATAAGGTACTATCTATTGTAGCCTGGAAAAATTGTTTTGTTTCATTTTATAGTATACCCAAATTTTATTAATTTTATGATAGAAAGTTTATCATACAAATCATTAAATCCTGATAGAAAAGTCTAAAGCCAAAAGGAGGGTGAAAACGAAAGAGATTACTTAAGATTGTTTTACTTTTTTTACTGTTGTTCAATTTTATAGTGGATATACAAGGTAGGCTTTCTAAAATGACATCCTTTTAATAAAGGAAAAAGAAGCTTAAAAACAAAAAAATAAAAAATGTATTTAAAACAAAAACATTGTTTAGACTGAGCATTACATTTATGAAATTTTAAATTCATAAATTTTCCTATGGACACTGCCTTCTGCAAAATGAAAATATTATCTTCCAAATTCTTATCACCTCAAGGTAAATTGCAAGATTTACCTCTCTGTATTCTCAGTGCTGAGACAATTCTACTAATTTCCTTCTAACAAGCTCTTAGTAAGACCGGATTCTACTTAAATGAAAAGTATCATCAACCACAAGTCACCTCAAGTGCCATATATGGAATACCAACTGCAAAGGAAATTACCGCAAGGCCAAAAAATGTGCACGGACTTCTGTGTATCAAGTAATTCAGAAGGTGCTCCAGGATCTAGTTGTATCTCACTGGGAACAACAACAATCTCCTTTTAAAAAGGTTACTGATCATGCACTGATCTCTATATACTACAACTTTGACTTCCTTAAGATCATGGGTTTAATGTAAACTAGTTCTCATTCACTTCCTTTATTTGCCATATGCTTTTTTTTCCCACTAATGCACAAAATAATAATTATTGTACTCATTTTTATCGTAAAAGGATGAATATACCAGTCTTACCAAGAACAAAAAAAAAAAAAGTCTTTCTGGTAAAGACCTCACATGACACATTATTCTCTTTAATTAATGCTATAAAATCTGAAAAGGTAGAATGGCAATTTGTCAACATAGGCTTCAGGTAGACTTCATATAATCCAAGGGAAAAGCATGTTATGCTATAAATGAAAACTCTACTTAATTCCTTTTGAAGATCTCTTTAAGCAAAATGAGAGATTAACCATGTCCAAGTGTAACTGAACGCAAGTCTGGCTGCCCGCCGCTTCGAAAACCAATACTCAGAGGCAGGTGCTGATGTATAAAGGGAAGTGGTTTATTCAGGCACCTACCACCTGGAAACTGGGGAACTCACGTCTGAAAGCCCATCTCCACCTCTCAGTGGAAGCAGATGCTTTTACAAGGAGGGAGAAGTGAAACAGAACAGAGATCAAGGAAGGGGGTTGAAAATTCCTCTCCGTCTGGGGAGTACAGGCCATTCTGATACGGCAAGCGATGGTGCGGTGTCCGTCATTCCAGTTTAGTCACCCTGGATTCATGGCATCCTGGACTCATGTTATCCTGGTTTCCTGTCATCCTGACTCCAAGGTGGAAGGTCAGAAAATCTCCGAGAGCTGGGATGCTTGAAGGTTGGAGTCTGCATCTTTTGAAACTAGCTCTTAGGATTCTTATATAAATATGCTATTCATCTACAAGCTACCTATCAGTCAGCGTCAGCACTTCCAGAACCAATGTTAAAACAATGGTGGGGTGGGTTACAATTTCCCATCGTTACAGTTTTCCACTGTTACACAAGTAAATGTTACTTATAATATATAATAGATAATAATATAATTCCCAAAGTCGATTTGATAAGATGGACATAATTAAACACATATTTAAAAGAATCTCAGTATTGATAACTGGCAGGACACCTAAGCACCTGAGCGAATGCAAATCTTTTTTCACCATCCCTAACGATTTTTGTTATGTTGGGAATTACCCCCTTTTCCTTGTTTTTCTTTTCTTTGTTTGAGAAGGGCAAAGGGGGTCATCAGAAATTACAACAGTTTAAAGTGGTAAAAGGGCGCAGATGCAGGAGAAAAGTACAAAAGGAAAGATTCCTCAACCCCTGACAGCTCAGTGGGAAGGCTAACATGGTAAAGGCCTCAGTACTGTGTTACAGACTTGCTTTGAAGAGATCTCACTTTAAACATGGGATTGGTTTTGAAAGCTCCATGAAGGTACCAATAAAATGAAAACTGGTTTTAAAATGTTATGCCATTAGTATTAGGCTGAAAATCTGGTACTCGAGTGAATCAAAAAGAAATGCAGATATAGTGTAGTCAGTTGGGGTCTTAATTTACCCATCTGGACAGAAATTGAAGGTGTTTGTAAATGGGGGATTTTAAATTAAAGAAATTATTCTATGTGCACTCTCCAGTATTACCGTTTAAAAATCTCCAGGCATACTGTTTAAACTTTAGGAAATTATTTTTTAAAATATTCCTAAACGAGTGTCACAGACTAGAGATGATACCATCTCTAGATTGGCGGGCACTTTCCTGCCTTGCCACTCCCCGATGCCACAGTCAGGGACAGCGCCTTGAACGCTGAGCCCTACCCTCCGGCATATAGAAATTGTGGGAACACAGAACCTCCGCAGCTTCTTCTGCCCATTTCCCAATTCCTTTCTCAGAGAAAACACTAAATTTATGCTTTTAAACATAAAAACTGTGAACACCACCGATTATATCACAAAAGAAAACACTTTGAGAGCAGTTTCCATTTGTAAAGAGTTATTTTATCGGCAAGGACATTTTGTTGGAACAATGACCTGGCAACTCCACGCGCTCGTTTAACAATCTTTGTCCATAAATACCGTAGGTAATAACTATCAATCCAATATTCATAACTCGTTGATTCAAAGAGAGGACAAAACTTCGATCCAGTCTCCCCGCTTGGCTCCTCGTAGCCAAAATCAACCCAACTCCCAAGCCAGGCGTGGTCTCTTGCTGCCGCACCCCATGCCCAGCCTTGGACGCGGAGATGCCTCGGGTCTCCCGCTCCTTTCCACAGTACGTCCCCGATTTGCATCCCTGGTCTCCACTGAAGCTCCGAGCGTAATCATGCCGTCGGAGTTCCCGATTTTTTCCTTGATTATCTCCCAAATTCTAGGAGAATTGTCCCTAACTTCCTCTCCAGAGGGATCTCATCCTGGGTTGCAAGTTTCCCGGGCACAGGAGGCCCCAGGCTGGGCTCTGGGCTGGGGCAGTTCTCGCCGGAGCCAAAGTTACGACCCGACCCAGCGCCAGCCCCACCACCCTACCCACCCTTACCCTGTCTTTTCTGGTCCATCCCAACCTCCCCCTCATACCAATGACCTCAACCTCAGCCCAAACCAAGCCAGGCACACTCCGCGCCCCACATCGGGTGGCTCTAGGAGGTAGACAGTATGAGCTGAATAGTCTGTGGGGAGACAACATCTGAAAGACTGAAAGCAGACGTAACTCCTCGCCAGGACTCAGAAGCGCTAATGCTCCCATTCCAGAAGACCCTAAGGTAGGGAACAGCCTCTAGAACCCCATCTCACGTCTGTATTTTGCTCACTCAGGGATCCTGAAATACCTAATCAAATACTCTTCCACTCTTTCCACCCAAACGCGCCCCAACCACCATCACCAGCCCTGGAGCCAGGAAAGTAGTGAGAACCTCAGCCCCCGCCCAGCTGTGCGCCCAGAGCGCAGCGAAGGGGGAGCGAGACCCGTATGATTAAATCAATCGAACGCCGTGTCCGAAACAAAAAGTTAAGTCCCCAGTATTTCCTTCAAAGCACGTTTTCTATGCTCACCCCTCTGGGCCCGAACTTGGGCCTGCCCTTACCTTCTAAGATTAAGATAAAACAGCGGTCACCTCCCGGTGTGCTCCGCTCCCTACCACTCCCGCGGCGGGGACCAGGGCAGACCCTCTTCCCCCTCCCGGTTCCCGGCGGCTGCCTGCGCCGCGCCGTGCTCGGGCGCCCACTCACCACGAGGGTCAGCAGCAGCCTGCAGAGGGCTCCGCGCAGGGAGCTCCGGGGCCCCGCGCCTGCCATCCCAGCGCCGGTCAGAATACGGAGAGACGAAAGCCACGGAAGGTGCAGCAGTGCAGGAGGTATCTTGGTCACCTTAGCCTCCGTCAGCCTTAATTTCCTGGGAGCCTGTTCGTTTCTGAGAAGAGATTGGAACTAGGAGACGCAGAGACGCCCCTCCTTGTTATTTCTCAAGTTTTATCACTGCAGGAGCCGCTGGGGAGGTGCCTGAGCCTGCTCCGCCGCTTCCCCGCGGACGCGCCAAGCGCTCGCTTCGCGGGAAAGCGGTCCCACGAGCGGGCCCCTGCTGGCTCTCCCACGCCCCTCCTCTGCCCCGCGGCGCACCCGCCCCGCCTTCACTGGCGCGTCCTGGCCGCCCAGATCGTCTCCCGAGCCCTGCCTGCCAGCGCTGCACGTCTCATTCCCACTGCAGAACTCAAATCCGCCTGCAGGGATCCCTGTCCCGACAGAGGCGCTCCTGGATGCCAAGAATACTGATCCTCCTCCAACTCCTGAAGTTCTTGGAAACGTCATCTGGTTAACACAAAATATATGTATTCTTTCTAAATTTGACTAGCATGATAACGGAAGGAAAATTTTCCTAAGATCATGAAGAAGCTGGCATTTGGTATACTAGGAACTAAAACCAAGTAAAAGAAATTCTGCTGACCATTTTTTTCACCCAAAACATGAGTGATTATACTCAGAGCTGTGTGAATTTTGTCACCTTGTGTGAACCTTCTAAGAAAGAACATTTTTGTATGTAAATTATTGACTTAGTAATTACATGATGATTGTACTAAGATGCAACTTTTCAGCTTGTGGTAAAAGGAAAATCTACCACACAAAACCCTCTACTCTAAAGGAGGCTTACATATTCAATATTTGTCAACCAAGAAAAAATGTTTTAACCTGTAATATAAAACAAAAAGCAGGTATTTGAGGGGAAAAAAAAATGCAACCTGAGAGCAGATTCAGGTAACAACTCAAAACAGTGCGCTGGAAAGAACAAAGAAAGAGAAGGTTTATAAAGGCAAAAACCACACAATGGCATCCTTTCATGCCAATGAAGGATTTCTGGTTATGTTAACAGGGACTAACTAGTCCCCAAATGCAAAACCAGGGAGGTGAAAACTATAAGGAATGAGGTCAAGTCCCTGTGTGTCTGCTGTTGACCCAGGATGTTTGTGGCTCAGCCTTGAGCTGAGATTAACAACAGGTTTAGCAATTTCCTAGCTGTTGAAAATTGTGGCACAAGATGTGCATGGACCCAGACTCTCTTAACAATGCTTATTCCATTTTGTTTTCTTCCATTATCACATTCAACAAACATGCATCAAGGCTCAAAGTCACCCAGGCAGTGTAAGGGGCTAGAGGAAAGGAAATGTGTAAAACCCAGGTCCTGCCCAAAACAATTCCAGGTCTATGAGGGAATAAAGATAATCATCAGGACCAGTATGCTGAACTTTTTAATAGACAGCTTGCAACACGAGGAGCATAGTCCTTTATGTCTCCCTAGACTGAATTTTGTGGTTTCCGAGCCCCCATCTGCTGCATTCAGAAGAAACTTCTTAGGTGTGTTGCTGCTCCTCAGACTCCATGCACAAGTTCAAAGGTCAGAGCCCTCGACTTGTCCAGGTTCCTCCAGGAAGGTGCCCTGGCCTTCAGTTATCCCATCCTAGTCACTCTAATAAGCTCATCATCTAAAGTCTTGGACTTCCCTGAAACTCACAGACCTCAGCTCAGGATTCAGACATTCATCAGCTTTTCAGTCCCATCTCTGAAATATTCAAGGCACCCATCAGAGATTCAGTCTCACCTCTGGAGGCCTTTGTATAGAAGAATTCTTTCTTTCTCAGACAAAGCTTTCTGAATTTCCCTCTACTCCAACCATTTTCACTTCCTGTGCTCCAAACCTTCGCTTTCACCCACAACCTGCGGGAAAGCCTCTTAAGGTTCCCTCTGGCCCCTGTAGGAACACAAGAGGATTATAGCTTTCCTGTAACATAGGTGATACTATGAATGCAATTGCGTTCCCTCAGACTCAAAAGTTAAAGCCCGAACCCTCAATGTGACTGCATTTAGAGACAGGGCCTATAAGAAAGTAATCAAGGTTAAATGAGGTCCTAACGGTGGGATCCTGATTTGATGGGATTAGTGTCCTTAAGAGACACCTGAGAACAGATATCCGATCCTTCCCTGACCTTCCTCCCGCCATCTGTCTCCTGTGTGGACACCTGGAGAAGGCAGCTGCCTGCAGTCCAGGAATAGAGCGCTCATCAAAAATCAAATTGGCCAGCACCTTGACTTTGGGCCCTCAGCCTATCAACTATGAGGTATAATGCTTGAGTAAGAACCACCAGAGAAAAAAGGAAAGGTCAGAGTGTGTCCCAGGCAAAGGCAGCAGCAACAGCACTAGCAAAGGTATGGGGAGTCTCATGAGGACTTTCCATGCAGAGGAAACAGAAAGAAGTTCCTTCAGAACCAGTGGACGGAACTCCTGTGGCTAAGAATCAGGTTAGAAAGATAGCCCTGTGACAAACCAGGCCGAGGAGCGAAATGTCATCCTGGACAACATGAAAGACCATCCAATCAATCTGTAAAAAGGGTTACTAACTCGAGTGACAGAATTACTGCTTTTGGTGAGTTAGTGAATTCGATTTCATAAAAGAACCTGTTTAAGCTTTGATACAGCTTTCCCTTAATACTTAAGGAATAAAACTCTTTGAAATGTTTGTCTTCATTCTAAGTACCTCTAGTTTTCAGTAATTTTAAATTTACCTACTGGAGTCTGACCTGATTATTACTGTTCTCCAACTAAAATGCTAAGATAACTATCATCTGCCTGCCTGTTTTATCTTGTATAATTGAGGAGATTAAGCCTACTGATTATATGCTGAGCTTTCAGCTTCTACAAAATAAAAGCTATCAAAATCTAGTCTAGAAATAGTATAATAAAACATATTGGGATATTTTTCATTTGTATTGCAAAATTCTAAGTGCAGTATAAATACTGAACTATAACTGGATATAGTTTTAGTAATTATCTTAAAATACCCTGCATTATAGAATGTACTTGTCCATCATGAGAATATTAGTCTAAGTCTTAATAAAAAGCAATGCATTTTTATAATTTAGAGAAGAATCTTTACAATCAGTCATAATTATCACATAAATATGACTTGGAGATAAATTTAAATTGCTTTTATTTTTCCTGTGTAAATAATTTAAAATGAGTTTGTTGCAAATTTATTTAAAATGTGAGCTTCGGTTTGAATATAGTTAAAACTGGAATTAATGTTAAATCATTACGTGGCATCATAAAGCATAATATTTTTTCTCTGAAATGTCTTTATTTTAATACTCTATCTCCCAAAATACAAAATCCTTTCACGCCATTAATTATATTAAAAATTGGAGGGTAAAAACTTATTTTCTTTTGTTATATTCTTAGTTTGAGGGGTAAGAGCAACGATAATAAAAGATCAAAAATGAGAAGTGATTTTAAGCGGAAGTACAAAACTCCAGGAACCCCCGGGAACTGTAACATTTCCAGAAGAAAGCAAGCTTGAGGTCACTGAGAAGAGTTCTCTGTCCCTAGCAGGAAGCTCTGGCCTCGGAAAGGATAATGGCCTTTGACAGTGGTTGCTGGCTCCTGGCCCACTGAGCCAGGGTGCCTTATGCAAATGAGTGCCAACAGGTGCTGGTCTCACCCACCTACCCACCTCGGCGGCTTACAGGCGCCTTGATATGACAAGTATGATCTCCTCAAACACACCTAAGAAATACAACCAGAGCAACTATATGATGTTTGGACAAATTTTCTAGGAATGAAAATGAAATATTAAGAAAATAAGCTTAGAACCAAGTAAAAGGTTGGTTTGAATTGTCCTTCTTGTAACACAAAATGAGTTCTAGTATGAGAAGCCAACTCAGAATCACTTTTAGAACATTATTTCAGATAAGTAGAGTGATAAACAGTAACCAAACACATCACTTGGAGCAACAGTAAGGAACACTGCACAGATGTGAAATCTGACACCAGGAGCCCTCGCAGATTTTGAAATTAGTTGCCTTCAATCTATGCACTTGCTCTTTTGGAGAGGGCTCTTCCCTTATGCTTGGCGGTCAATTGGCCCTTCCTGACCACTTCTTTCTTCCTCTTGGGACCCTCCTCTCATACTGCCACTCCGGCCTCCAAGAGAGGACCCTGCTCTTCCTGTACCACCTTCCTAAAGTGTGACTAGGGGCCCTCCGCTAATTTCCCAAAGCACCACTGAGAATAGCCATGACTTTTTTAGGTCATTTTTAAATATCACCGAAAACTTAGGGATAACAGGATGTTAGAGTCAAATGTAACCTATGATACCGCATTGCTGCCCAGAACAAAAGCCATCCCAGAATCCCTGCCTTTCTCCTCTCCTTTCTCCCCATGGGAAGCGCTCCACCCAGGCCTACTTCCACCCCCATGGAAAAGGTCCAGACAACACAGAGAACCTCGAGTCAGGGAATAGAAGTTTCTCCTTCCTCCTTTTCTGGGCTGGGTCCTCAGTTCTCACCCTAGGACTAATTTCTATGCAGAGTGATTGGCAGTGGGACCATCCATTCCTTTCAGGGGTAAACTCCCTCCCATCTACAGAGGTGTGGACTTTCACTGTAACCTTGGCAACGGTCATACCAAATTCAGACACTTGTACATTTCTCAAATTTAGAATTATTCCATTGAAGTAACACTGTGCCACAGTCTAATCCAATTAGGGTGTGTCAGATTTTGAAAGGTTCCCTTTCAGACTCTCCCTGTCAATTAATGATTTAAGAACTATTACAGTGGGTTACCTCTTCCTCCACTGAAATCATCAGGTGCCAATACAAGGATTGTCTCTCCTGTCAACAGACCTTTTAAAGAGGGAGGAATGGTCTCCAAGTGACTTCTCAAGGGCTAGAAAGAATACTGATTTACACACCCAAAACAAAAGGTTATTGTGTGAGTGATAACTTCTTAAAAGCAGTATGACAAAGCCCTG